TATAAAGGCATTGAGAAATTTTTCTTCCTTAACCTCAAATTTTAGAAAAAATGTTCCTCGTAATCAAAACCACAAGTTTTTAAGTACCAGTGACCACACAAATGATCGGCTATAATTGTATCCTTGTGTCCAGGTGCAGTATCGAAACGGTAATAATGGCCATTCCAGAGTTTCTCTTCTAATGAATGTTTTCCTTTTTCCAAAATATCTTGATCACGCAAAAAATCATTAGGTTGATCCAATAGAGTAGCCATACTTGCCATAGTCTGCAAGACTGCTAACCAAAGACCAGAACAGTAGTCGTTGCACACATACAGATAAAGTCTGCAAATTAAACTCGATGAAATATGATTAAAATAACAAATCTTACCTAGGGCCATCCAAAACCCACGAATCATACGTTTGATCTGGCATCTTACTGTTTTCAATCAAGGGGAGACAAATCAATGTGTTTCAATCTATGACACAGTGGAAGGGGTAGCGCAGGATCCCATTGCAAACCAAGCAAAACAAACAGCAGGAAGCACCGGTGAACAGACACCAACAGATCAACATGACATCTTCAACTAGGAAGACAAACTATCGACAAGTGTTCAAGAGCTGGTCTAACTAAAGATGTACATAAGCACGTGGTAACATAGAAGTCATTGAATTCTTTAGACTAAGTTTTTATAAACCCTAGAAGGGACCCATCTTCATTAACTGAAAAGTCTATATGAATATCAAACTCGAGTGTTGAGTTGAAAATAACCTCTAAGTGTTTGTAATTGAAGAGATGTTACAGGACGCGATTGTCACACGGTAATAAGAAGGCAACGTATTACACCACGGAAAAGACATCTTCTTGCATTTTTATGAATTCAGCCCCATACCATTGTTTAAAATCCATTTACACAGGTTCACAAAATCAGACTGAAGAAGTTTACTACCACGTATTAAGTCAAAGGAAAGGGAAAGGTTAGCGTACTCTACAGACATTCAAATACAGTTTAAATATTCAGGAAACTGATATAATATAAATAAAAGCGGGCCAAGATGGCTGCCCTGAAGAACACTAAAAATGACAAAAATTACTCACGAACTCCGAAAATACCCGTGAGAGCTAGCTGCTAAAACAGGCAATCATACTGTTCGAAAAACCAAGACGATGTAATTCATGCATCATTGTCTTAATCATATTCCATGCTACGTTCCATGATAGTCGTTTTTGAAGGTATGGAAACAGTACGTTCTTCTTCGCTTATGTTCTCGACGGTCCATATGAATACGGCGCACGGTATGGATGAATCCTTATATTCAAATGTATACCGTGCCTGAACAGATCGTTTTCTATCCACGACCGCGGATACAATCCCTTATAGAGACAATCTTTTATCATCCACCTTCGAGTGCCACGAGTTCAACGGTTACTTGGAGCGCGTAATACTTCAATTAGTTAAACGACAATCTACGCCTGATTCATGTAAACTTATTTCAAAAAATCGTAATGCATTCGTTAAAACCAAGGCAAGCTATATAGAAAAACCCGTTTCCAAGATTTTCGCATTCTCATTTGTCATTTTTGTGCATAATTTTTAGTCAAATAATAGGTTTAACAGAATTTCAAGAAATCGGATAAAATATGTGTTAAATTTGATGCAAAGCGAAAAGAAGAGAAAAGTATAATAATAAAATAACTTGAGTGTACGACACATACATAATGATACTTGCCTGGGTGTATAGCCTATAGAAGAACCTTTATTTATTTTCGGTCTTACTTACAATAGCACTAATAATATAATTTAAAAATTGCATCTATATCAAAGCAATATATTTTCGCAGGTCGTATAAAAATTGTTTTTAGACTTGCTGGCATCTAGCGATTTTTGTTCTTATTTCGTTTTTTGTCAACAATCAAATTAAAATGAATTTAAAGACACTTTCCAAATCATGGTTTCATACAATAATATATTTTTGAATTGAAAAGTATTTAAAACATACACATAGCTGCATACATTTCAAATATTTAAACATTTTCATTCATATATTAGTTAAATTATCGTTCGCTGTAAATACATTATAATAAAATTTGTGCTCTATGAAAAAACTTATCAAGTTTATGAACAAATGTAAGGAATAGAAAAATACTACATCCGTCCAGAGGCGAATATTGGGCATCCACCGTCTCGAATTATTTTTAAGGCAATTGTAAGTCTGGTAAATATTCCAGCAATATTTTAGATTAATTTCAGTCTATCAGGGAATATATGCGTATTTCGTTCCTACTTTTATGATTGTGAAAATATCAAAAACAGGCAGATGAACGATTTATTTATTAAATTGTAGTGCGTTAGCGTAACTAAATACAATATAATTATATAATAGCAAAGGATTAAGTGAGTGCCTTACGAGTAAAAAATCTTAATTAGAAATTCACAAATTTCTTTCTTATTGCATTAAATACGTACACAAACTTTATTTTATTTTTCTTCTTCTTTGCTTAGATAATATTATATAAATAATCGCTCTAAATTCGAGTTTATTTAAACTGTTGCAGCAGTGGTCTTGGGGTGGCTAATTCAACTGTTCGCACAATATGTAGATTACCTGTTGGCTGCAAAAGCGGCACTTGGTTTACTCTTAAGCCAGGAAAAAGCACTTGCGCTGTAATTACCGCCAACGAAGCGAAGAACAATAAATGACTTAAAAACTTAAAAAGAAAATATATATATATATATATACATATATATCTAAAAATGAATGCAAACTGTAAAAGGACATTAATTTTGTCGCCTTACCTTCATTTTGATAATAACTTGCAATTAGCACTGCTCGTACCTGGTCTTAACAATACTTAACTAATTATAAGTATTGTTATCACCTGCTGTATCACTTTTATTAAACAGCAAGCGTTCGGTAACCAGATATATACAATTTCTCCATATACGCAAAGTTATTTCTGAACTCTTTATTAGAAAAATAATTTTAAAAAAATATTTCCCTAACAGCCGGTTTATTAAACAAAAAAAAAAAATTATAAAAATTTATAAGCAGCAAGAGGAAATACAATCACAGGTGATTATGTCAGTATAAAATTACCGTCCGACGAAGTTCAAGCACCGCAACCTGTTCTTCTGGCATCTTCAAAACGCTGCGTAAAGTTCAGGAATCTCTTTTCATCTTTCATCATTCATAATGCTAATAAATCGTTCATACAGAGCATTTAAAAATTTACACGTATCACACGCACCTATTGTGCAATTGTGTATGAGTTTGCTAAATATCATTATACTTCCAATGAGGTGTGTTTAATCAATCAAAAATCTTCCAAGACCTAACGCATATGAATGAAAAGGTGTTTTACAGAAAACATATATAGCACATCACTTTTAAAATCAATTTATTATAATTCTCTTTTTATTATGGATCTGCTGTTGGCTGTCAATTATGTACGTGTACGTATAGAGAAGTAAGTTTGACTTTTAAATCCTACATCTTTTCTTGTATATGGTGTATTAAGCTCACCTTTTATTATATTATTAAATTTAGCACACCGACAAGTTTTGGTTTAAGGACGATCACCATCGAAAATATATTGCACCGGACGCTTTCTACGTCCTTTCATAGCAGCGAGCAAGTTAGGCTCATCTGGTCATAATTCAACGGTATCCAAAATCCTACTTGAATTCAAGCCGATCTTCGAAATATTTAGGTGAATGATATCAAACGTTCTACTATGATTTGAAGCATGAACCTCTCATTCTTATGACAAAAACATCGGAAGAAAACTTAAAGGAACTAAAATATCTTTTTTGCCAAGCCAATAGTATAGGTTTAAATTTGATTTCAGAATACTCTTACGTGGTTCAGATTGTTTTCCTTTGTACGAACTTCCATATACTTGCACTAATTTCTATAACTTGTTTTGATATGGGCGACACTTTTGGTTGTATTGCGATACCTGTTTTACTGTTTTACTTTCCATCGACTTGTCAAACTACAGCATTAAAACATGGGACAGCGCAGGTTTCAATAACGTTCGCGAATTTTTTAGGATATGTTGCCTTTGACTAGAGAAACTTCGAGTGCACTAGTGCATGGTTTATAAAAAAAAGCATCTTGCGTTAAGAATAGAGAGCTTTCAACAAATTGCAACGCCTCGACTGAAAATTTCGATTCTGTTAAAGTGAAAGAATATTGTATTCGATTCTCTTAAAGCGTGAAAATTTTGTATTCGATTCCGTTAGTGTAAGTTTTTGCTAATGTATGAATAGGCGAAGTTTTATAAAAACAACGAAATTATTTTGATTTCGTTAATAAGTAGGATTACAGCACTTAATAAAGCGATCGACACGAACCTGCATTAGACGCAATTACAAGCAAAGAAGTCAGCAGATCACAACGAAAAGGTTGTGTGTAGATAAGTATAATATATTTATAATAAGCTGCTTATACTTGACATTGTGTTATTGCGACCTGATCCAATGAATAATCTTAGATATATTTCATAATCTTTTGTTTCAATTTAATTTATTGATCTCATTAATGTGTAAAGTTATGGTCATGGGGAGAGTGAGTAGGTAAGCTACTGAGAGTGTAGAATAATACATGCAAATGAAATTCAGTTTATAGTTCTTCAATAATAATTTAATAAATCTGTTCTCTCTTTTACATTAATTATCTGCTCTGTTTGTCAATTAATTGCCAGTTAAGGTAATTATTGTAGGTGTTATATTAAAAATTATTTTGTTTTGGTTAAGTTAAATAAATTACATTACAAAAGTGAATGAATATATATTTGTAGAGGCGTATTAGGATATGTGCAGATGTGAATAACAATAATCATGGATATTGCGTTGTAAACTCGAAGATAATGAATAATAAAAATCTGGACAATTTTTTAACTTCTTAAAAATCAAATCCATGCGTATGATGGCGTAGATGTGCACAGAGAGAGCGAGAGAAAGAGATAAAGAGAGAGATAGAGATTATCGAAAATAAATTTACATGATTTGTAGAACTCAACTTAACAAAAAAGAAAAAGACACGCTTTTGCATACATACACACGAAATGAAGATGAAAAAAGCAAAGAACAAATACTTAAATTGGTGTTTTCAAGCAATATCATGTTGGACTGGCTGCAGTTGTGGCAATAGAACCAGCGTTGCTAGTGGCTTTCACACTTGCCTCTAAATCCAAATCAGTGGACATTTTATGACTTTCACGTATTGACAATGAACCAGCACAATTTTCCACTAATTCACTGCTAACGATAACGCCATTACCCATAGCTGTTTTATTGTTATCCATTACGGCGGTCTGCAACAGCGGACTAGTATCCGTTAAAATGACACTAACGGACGTTGAACACGGTATTGCATTTATATTAAGTTGTATAACTGAATTATTATTAGCATTCTCAACGGAAGCCCCTGACAGAGACAATTCATCCGCCGAGTCTTCAATTATTGATTCGGTTTGCACGCCTTTTTCTTCCAGTAAATGTTCATTGAAACGTATTGGATGACTAAACGTACCAAATTGCTTTGAAATTTGTAATAATTCCCGTAACGTTTTATTTTCGAGACGCAGGCGTGTTATCGCTTCCACATCGCATTCGTCGTCTATGGAAGCAGCTTTCTGCATAACAGCAGCCATTTCATTAATTTTCTCACGTTGCTCGCGTATAATTTTCCATAATTTTTCATTATAAACTTCCTTGAAATTTAATTTACTTCCTAAAACTTTGCTGTTGGTATGTTCACGATACTTTTGCATTATTAACTCCATGGCTAGTTCATAATCTTCAATGCATACCTTAAGCTCGCGGTTCTCTTTAAGAATCTCTGAACTGTTGGCGTTTTGCTGTTGAATGCGATTTACCATCTCAACGTTAGATTTATTATTTGCTGCACGATTCAGTGAATCCATGTCATCTTGAAATTGTCGCATACTCTCTACGAAACGATTGTTACCCTCCGCTTCCACCATAAGAGCGCTACTTAAAGCATCCAAATCTTTGATACGACTTGCCAATTTTTGTGCATCCACAATTATTTGTCCTACTGTTATATTTGCCATTTCGCTATAACTACAATTGAAGCTGAGGATTTCCTTTTCTCTCTCCACTTACACACTCTAACTATTTTCTGAATTTTGCGAATATTGTTAATAAAAATTTCATTAAAACAGTGGTTATACGAATTCCCTTTGCACAAGCAACAAAAGAAACCAACAATGACGTTTCTCAACTCACTGTTTTCTTTCATTATTGACAGTTGACAACACGGCCAGGGTTAACAACTCGACAAAACAGATGTTCTTTTTAATTGCAATTTTCAATTTTCTCCGCTTCTCTTCTAAAAAGTGTCAGTGTCGACTTCGGGAATTTCCTTTACTCCTTTTTTTTAAAATTAATTCTAATTAGTTTACACTCAGAAATAAAAAAGATAAAATAATGTTTGCATGGTACAATACCTATATATGAATTTGTTCATAATTCATTCTACATCTACTTATAAAATACATCAAATAAATATATCACTCCCTAAACATAAGAGTGGAAATATGAAAAAAAAAGTTAATTAACGATACAACAAAACCGATGGTTATTAAAACAATGAAAAAAATTCATAAAGAAATCTAGAATGTCCTTACGTAAGTTGAAATTCCCTACATTAAAATACGATTTCGTAAAACGTAACGTTTTACCAAATGTATATGTAAATATACATAAAGCACAAAAACGGGAAAAGAGAATAATAATGAAAACATAAAAACTAAAAGCAGCAAGAAGCAGAAGCATAATAAATCCATCATTCAATTGACAAAAACAAATAGTTTTGAGAAAAGAAACAAAAAATAATAAAGTCGCGTCGTAAATTCTTGTGAGATAAAAGAAAAACTATTACTCAAGTATTCTGGGATTTTTTTTGTTTCGTTTTTCGATTATAACATAAATTGAGACAAAGAATAAAATTTTTAAAAGTTTTTTGTGGCCCCTAGTCTTAAGGGCAAATAATATATATAAATATATATATGTACAATATATATATATATATATAAATATATATATTAACTTATGAAGGAAGTATCGATTAATAATTTGCCTTGAAAGAAATTTAGGGACATACAAGCCGCAAGTCTTATTGGCTTAGTCCATCCTAAACCCACATTAAAAAAAGGAAGAAAAACTTGGTGCAAATAGATTAAAGAATTTTTATAAACCATCTGCTTTTGTCGTCATTCAGTACCGATGGTGTTTTCCCGGCGTCCACAAAAAAATACTAATGGTGGCTTCGGTTACCGGCCCTTTGTTGTTAATTCATTCACCGTTTCGCTGGTGGTTCTCTGCTTTGCCACCGGGTGTAATGCAACCGCGACAGATATTGCATTGGATGCCAAAGCTACGTTAACGCATAGAATCGATAGCCTCAACCTTCTTGTGTACACTTTCTTATTGACCCTGACTGTGCTAACGATATGGTTATTTAAACATCACCGGGTTTCGTGGTTACACGAAACGGGTTTGGCTGTGATTTACGGTAAGTGCATGTATATTTACGGTAAATAAATCCACAATTTGATAGGACATATATTTGTCATTTTTGAAACATAGTGAATTTTTTACTTTTTTGGTTTGCTGAAGACTAATAGAAATTTTATATGTTTAATTAAATTAATGCCTGAGAATTATCAATTTGCAAATAATACGCTGAAAAGAAATTTGAAGAAAGCAAATAGTTTTTAAAAATAGAATATCTAATAGACACCTTCGCCTATATTTACTTCAACAATCAGTTTTATAATGTATATTGTGAAAATGACTTTAATTTTCGCCGAACTTAACGACCACTTGCTTATACATACAACGTGGTCCGAACGAAATTCTATGACTAGAGAGTGTTTTTCCTAACTCCCATTTCTTATCATCAAGCAATTCATCAAATCAGTTAAGGCTACAGTCAATAAGGCAATGTAAAAACATTTATTTTCTATTTTACGTCCTATTATTCGAAAAATATGAAAACTTCGATATATACGAACATGAGGAAAGAAACAGCTGTGTCAATTCATAGAAGTTTGCAAAACTGGCTAAACAAAAGGTTTTGAATACGCAAAGAGAAAAACAACTGCTAATGGACTCTTACATGTGTCTTTTCTTTTTTCTTGATATAAAGTAAGCGTAGATTAGAGGTTTAAACACATACCAAGCTTATTATTTGCAATAGCGGAAGATTAAAAACGAAAGTCGCGTAGACCAACAATGTGACCAGCAAATAATATGCAGATGTTTTAAAAACATTTTTTAAGAAACATCAACAGTGCTATTATGAACTCTTCTGAAATGGTTGATTTTATACAAATAATCAAATCCGTTGTCATCAACAAGCATTTAAAATTGTTCCTAAATGTAAGCACTTTGAATTCTGAGAAGGGGCTTTACGATTGTTTATGAGCGGTCTTTAATAATTTAGAAAGACTTTGCAAAGATGCTCCTGTAGGTTACTATCTAGAATAATTCTTATGAAAGTTCTCTACGATTATAATTAGCATATGTCTGCCCATTTGGTGCTATTGAAAAGAAAGATCATATTAAAGCTTCATACCCTTCTTCTTGAACTTGACTTGAAATTGGATGTTCACGTATTTTTTCTACGTATTAGAACAAATTAGTAAGACAGTATGAGTTGTATATGCTTCTTGTTGTACCAATCCTATTACGCATGACCCATGACAGATCTTTTGGTCTATTCTTTCAAAATGTTCCTATTGAATGCGATCGTGAGCATCAATAATTTTTCACTTACATATTCTTTTATAAGGTTTAATTGTGGGCGCCGCCATTCGTTATTCTGGTTCATCGACGCCTCTAATACATCTGGAGGTTGAACCTGAAAATAATTCAACGTATAATCAAACTCTACCGCCGGATACGCTATGGCTAAAAGTAAGTTAATTTATGCTTTTTAAAACAACATATCAATTGAATGTTTCATTTGCCGGTAGTTCCCAGGAAAGTTGACTCCGCCTCATAGCCTGGAACCTATAGAAAATAAAACGTATGCCTACACGTTTCGTAGTCAAGTCTATGGAGAGGGTGAAAACGAAATCGACTTAAAGGCCACCTTCGATCCAGAGATTTTCTTCAACATTATATTACCGCCTATTATATTTCATGCTGGGTATAGCTTAAAGAAGGTATATCGTTAATTTATGTGAGAAATCTCAAATTTCTTCAAATTACTTAAGTTTGTAGAAATATTTCTTCCGCAATCTTGGCGCTATTTTAACGTTTGCGATTTTGGGAACTACTTTATCAGCTTTCTTAATTGGAGCGATCATGTATGGTTGCGTAAAATTAATGCCTAAATATTTGAGCAGCAGTTTTACATTTTTGGATACTTTGTATTTCGGAGCATTAATATCGCCCACCGATCCCCTAACCATTCTAGCAATATTCCATGACTTACATGTGGATGTCAACTTATACGCATTAGTATTTGGAGAATCCGTTCTAAATGATGCTGTTGCTATAGTTTTAAGTGGGTACGTTCTGAGAAAAATCTTTCATTTTTGTTTATTTCTTTATTTTACTAACAAGTTATAAATATTATATTAATAATTTTAGAGCTATACAAAACTACGGTGAACATTATTCGAGCACTGGCGAATTTGAAACATATGCTTTCTTCCAGGCTTTGGGAGATTTCTTCGGAATTTTTATGCTCTCGTTGCTAATTGGAGCGTTAATGGGTTGCTTTACTGCATTGATATCCTTTTTACACTAATAATCAATGACTTAATTACGTTCAAATGAAATAGATACACACTTACAATTAGACTCGCGCATTCGGATGACAAAACATGTTGGGAGTAATTATTTAAAAATTATAACAAACAGTGCGTAGACAGAGGTGGAATCTAGAGAGTTAACCGGTATTTTTTTATTGTTGTTTACATAACTGCAACATGCCAAATAAGTTGAATAGTTTTTGAAATGGGAAACAAGAAGACACAAGTCGTAGTTTAAGCTTAAAAAAGTTATTATTAGAAAAAATGATTTAACACAATCGGGCGGCAAGTAAAGAGTAAACATAACAGTATTAATAACATTCGGGATAGTAAGTCGTAGCCTATGAGTGAGATGTGAATACGCTAATGTTCGTTTTTTTTAGCAAAATTTGCTTGATCTTCCTTAACTTTTGCACACTTGACTAAGTTCACTCGAGTTCGAGATTTCCCCCTGTTGGAATCGGCACTTTTTGTTCTCATGTCTTACAGCACTTTCTTAATAGCCGAGGCCTCTGAACTTACAGGTGTGGTGGCCGTATTATTTTGTGGCATTTGTCAAGCTCATTACACGTATAATAATTTGTCGGAGAATTCCCGCACTAGAACTAAAGAAATCTTTGAACTGTTAAATTTCCTAGCTGAAAACTTTATATTTTCGTACATCGGTGTTTCGATGTTTACGTTTCCAAAACACCATTTTGATGCCGTTTTCATAATAACTGGTTTTGTAAGTATCCGAATAACTTTGCATAAAGAAATTTACAAATAAATAAAGAATGAAACACATTTTTTAGGTATGTGCAGCCATAGGTCGTGCTGTTAACATATACCCATTGTCTTGGCTTTTAAATTTAAATCGTAAGCCAAAGATATCAGGCAACTTCCAGCATATGTTATTCTTTGCCGGTAATTAAAGGAGATTTACATTACTTTTTCATCGAACGCTTCAATAGGATTAAAATTTTAGGGCTACGAGGAGCAATGTCGTTTGCTTTGGCTATAAGAAACACTTTATCAGAGGCCCGCCAAACAATGCTAACCGCCACCTCTTTAATTGTTATATTCACAGTCATCATCCAAGGTGGTGCCGCAAATTTTTTACTTAACTGGCTAAAAATACCGTAAGTTTCTCGAGATAGTACGATGAAAAAGTGTTTTGTTTTCTTATTTTCGTCAACTAAAGAATTCTTCATTTTTTTTTTTATAGTGTTGGTGTTGATGAGGAGACTGAGCAATTAAACAACTATCAAGTGCGCAGTGTGAGTACTTGTAGAAAATTTTCTATACTTTTTGAATTCTTACTGCTCCCGGCACAAATATGTAATAAATTATCTTTTTTAAATATTTGCGCATTTTATTTGTGTAAATTGTGTGAAAGCAAAAAAGTACTTTTTATTAATCAATTCTAGCTTTCTTACCGATACATCTCCAATCGATTATCTTGAGAAATACTGTAAATATTAAAAACAGATTAAGAGAAGTCGTTATTATTTAAAAAAAATTGTTAGGGAGTTGAATCTAATTGTCGCTATTGACTCTTAAGCGTTTTACGGATTTACTCTTGTTAAATGAGAGAAATGGAGTCAACTTGAAGCTTGAGCTAAATGTAACTAAAAGACCAATAATATTTTTCTTTACTGAGTTCGTTATCAAAATGAAATATGTAAAGTACAACACCCACCTTAATGTTGCCGAAGTATACATATATGTATAAAATATATATATTTTTTGGTGACTAATAAATTATTATACCATTAAAGAAAATTTCGAAAAGTCCATCGAAAGTACGGTGAATAGCAAACATGTAATTTTGCTCAAGCAATCCATAGAATGGACTTTTACATCTAGATGAGAACTTGTCGCAATTTTTCTTGTTGTTTTAATTTGGGGTTTGTGGTTTTTAAAATAGGGGTTAACTTTTTCAAACTCTCGTTTAAATAAATCGTTATTTGATTCACACAATTTGTTTTGCGTCCTTTACATCACTTCTTACATTACTTGCCATTAGGTTTTGATTTTTGTTATAATTTGTGCTTGCTTTAAATTTTATTCGATGTTATTTACCTGTTTTCTCTTTTTTTTATTGGCTTATTATCTTTTTCAAAAAAAATAAAAAATACAATTTGTATAAAATTCGATATCGCTAACTCAATTTATCAAAATATGTTCAAACGAAAAAAAGGTTTACAATTCGATGGAAAATACAGCCAATGCGGTATGTTCAATTGTATAATTGTATAATTGTATATATTTAAATATTGAGATCTGACATTCTTATAAAGCTATGAGAGATTTAGAAAATAAACTAAATCTAAGGACGAGAGGATGATGGTTGACGTTCTTAGGGTAAACTACTGGCAGGCACTACAATTGAAACGGATATATTAAAAACAATAGCAAAGTTATTCGATTATCTATCGACATAAGCTTTAGTTATACGCTTTAGAAAGGAAAATGTGCGTACGTTGTATACGTGACTAGCCGATGGTTATATGTATTAACGGGTAACGTTACTGTAAATTTTTGGAAACAATTTTTTTTTTGCTTAAAAGTTGCTTTGAAAGAAATTTCGGGCCATTTCGCCAAAATGCCAACACGCCAAAAAGACTCCCTATATCAGAGGAGCCCCTGTTGGGCATCTATTGCCTTTCCTGTTGAATTCTGACACCTTAATACTAATGGTGTCTTTATAAAATATTTACATTCATTTAGAAGCGTTTCCAAGCTGTGCTAGCCTAGTTTCAGCAACACGAACGTTGAGTAAATATGATTGAGTAGAAATAGGGCTGACAGCGATTCGAAAGTATTCAATGCCTCTGTCAAGGAATTAAAAGTTTGCGATGTCGTTTTTGTTGGTGATTATGACTTCAATTATTGAATTATACATGTTCTTTCCATTTTGTTTGTCATTTCCCAACACAAATGCAAATTTATTTGCAATTCGGTGGAAAAAATGCTAATGCATGCAAACGCAATGTTGAAATCAATACGAAATCCATTAAAAATTACATTAGAACTAGAATTTGATTGGAAATTGTGGCCGTACTAGTAAATCGGTCATGACCATTTTCGGACCGAGAATGAAGGTGACTCTAACGAACATTTATGTAACATTTATATAATATCTTCACAGCATCGAAAGTTCCAGAAGAAATATGAGAAGATTATCGTTGTTTTTTCAAAATTTTTTCAGTTTCTTACATATTGCGGTCTCATAAATAGATATGCCAAATTTTTAACTACAGATTCTTAGTCGATCACGGAATGTCCTTGCCAAATTTCAGATTGCTATCTTATTTTTACGAATGTGGCAAGCCGACAAAATAGTCATTGGCATTTCGAAAACTACAACATGTAGGAAAAAAGTGGATATATAGTTACAAATAAAAGTTATCAACAAGTTTTGGAGATTTATATGCTTTAGAAACATTATTTTGAAGATCGATCGAAAACTACAAAGGATTAACACGACGTACTCGGTAGTTCTACTTTTAGTAGTACATTTTTTAATAAAAGATTGTCTTTATTTTTGGTTGGATATTGCCGCCAATCACCCAAAACTCAATATTTCCATAATACCTACTTATTCTGCTCCTTATATTAGTTTGGGGAAAAAGAAATCCATTATTTTTATATGAACTTCAGAACTTTATTTAACATTCTTCGGATTGTCCGATTTGGGTCAAATATGCACCGTTTTGTTGTATGATTTGTTGCCATTTTCAAGGTAACTTCAAAATGCCTCTCTTATAGAAGTCCTGGTCTCTATTTGCAAAAAACTCTACTAGTCGATTTTCACAATCCTCCCTAGATTCCAATTTTTTATCATTAAAGAAATTTTGCAATGCAAGAAAAAGATGATAATCGCTTGGTGCCAAGTCCGGACTGTATGGCGGATGCATTAAAACTTCCCAACCAAGCTCCCGCAGTTTCTGGCGAGTCACTGTAGATGTGTGTGGCCTAGCGTTGTCCTGGTGGAACACGACACCTCTCCTGTTAGCCAATTCTGGCCGTTTCTGGTCAATCGCTATCTTCAAACGGTCCAGTTGTTGACAGTAGAGATCAGAATTTAGCCTTTGGCCATATGGAAGCAACTCATAATAAATAATCCACTTCCAGTCCCATCAAATGCATAGCAAAACCTTCCTGGCCGTTTGAGGTGCTTCACCGCTCTTTGACCACGATCGTATTCGCACAGGGTTATCGTATGTGATCCATTTCTCATCTCCAGTCACCATCCGTTTAAGAAATGGATCTATCTCATTCCGTTTGGCCAAGGCTTCGCAGATGGAAATTCGATCCATCATGTTTTTTTCTGTTAATTGTTATGGCACCCAAACATCGAGTTTCTTTTTGAATCCAGCTTTGTGTAAATGGTTTAAAACTGTTTTATGGTCGATTTTTAGCTCCTGGGCGATGTTACGACTGCTAACATACCGGTCAACTTCGATCATTTCTCCGTTTTTAACGACATTTTCGACGACCGGCCTACCTGTACGAGGTGCATTTTTAACGGAATCTACGAAACCAAATTTGCACATAATTGGCTGTTACAGTATCGGAACCATAAACACCATTCACAATTTTAGCCGCCTGGCTTGCATTTTCGCCTTTGTCAAAGAAAAACTGTAAAATGTACCGAATTTTCTCTTTGTTCACTTCCATTTATAACTCACAACTGAATGCACCAAACAAAAAACAGCAAAAGAATTTGTTTACTGCGAAATGTCACCTTTCCAACGAGCATAAATCTGAATTTGTTTGATCGATACTTTACGAGAAATCTATCAGTGCAGCCAACTACCGAAAAAATAATGGATTTCTTTTTCCCCAAATTAATATTAAAGATTTCTCGCGGAAACATTTACGGTGTGTGTTGCCTTTTTTTTAGTATTTTGTAAAAATATATTTTTTGTGTTAATAATTAAATAAATGCTTAATAACCTTCCCCATATTACAGCGGCGTTACTCTTTCGTATATCCACATAATTATATCGATGTGATCGTTGCCTCTCCATTAGCCTGCTCAAATCTCGCTTTCATGCTTTTCAAGAGAATGCAGAAAAGTTCTGAAAAAAAGTTCTAAAATCAATTTTAACTTACATAAAATTATTTAGTATGTTATATGTGGAATCTTCCAAGAGGCAGGATAAGTTTATCTTTTTCTACTAAATCCAGCAAAATTTTTTGTGGATGACATGCTTTTAATTAATTTTGATTACTCATAAAGTCTCCTTACATTTACGGAATTAATGATTTTGAGAAACATTTTTATAAAAAATAATCTTAAGCATCGAAGTTTTCGCTATTGTTTTTTGCTTTAACAAAATCTGGAATTTATCTAATGTTAAAAAATAGTCTGATGCTTATTTACAGGACTGTGGCGATCTGGACAGTAGCACAGCAACTAGCGGCAATGGAGTTGGTGCCGTAAACAACGCACCTAGACGTAATGAGAAAGCTATATTAGCTCGTTTATGGGGAAATTTCGATACGAAGTAAGTAAAAGTTAAGTAAATGCAGAAAAGTTTAATAAATCTACTAAATTCTTATTAGATATATGAAACCTTTATTAACACATTCGCGACCTACACTATTGGAAACCTTACCGGTTTGTTGTAATCCGGTAGCACGTCTTTTAACTACTACCGAACAACTAACACAGGTAGGCTTAATAGTATATTTAAGAACTCCTTCTAAATACGCTAACACTTATCCACTCTGCTTTGCTTCTCATTTACACTACCTCTTTTCGTACTAATAATAACTGCATGCCTTCTAAATTTATCGTATCTCATTCGCACGGGTTATGCGATCGTATTGCTTATTAGGATGGAAGTTTAAGACGCACTGATTCCGATTCGGATGTGTGCATTGATGACGACTTATCAGGTCGTAATCGTGGTGGCAGTGGTGGGGGTGGCTCAGTTACGAGTATACCCAGCGGAGATGCACGCCGCAATTCTATTAATCGTGTAAGTATACGCTTTGTGACAGACGATCGTAGTCTGTTTGCCAGCTACAAAAACTGTGATTAATTCATACTAGTCGTCTTCTTCTCTAATACAAATTCTAACATTTTCAAACATTAGAAATATAGATAGTTTGATAATAAATTAAAGAAAAATTTCCAAAAGTAAAAAAAGAAAATCCATCCTTAAGGATAATTATTTAATAAATGTTCAATGTACTAACTTTGTACAATAAGCATTGTTTAAATCCTAACAAAAAAAAAAAAGATCAAACGAAACGAAAATTAGAAAAAAGAGAAAGTAACTTTCGACATTCATACTGTGATTGACTAAATGTGTGTGTGTGTGTGTGTGTGTGAATGCGATATTTCGTTATAAACAAAACAAAAAAAAAATTAGCCTACATTGGAATTAATCGTTGTACTTATCGCTTCTATTTTTGTTCTAGCAAGCATACACACATACTAGTCAAATGAAGATATCGTATGTGTTTAATTAAACTTTAATTTATTATTTTTTTTTGCTTTTCTCTTCATTTTTAAATTTCTTTCCTAAATTGATTTATTACATACGTTTTTTTATATATATTTGTGTACATATGTTATTTTACCTAATACATGCACACATCTATATAAACTTATATACGTAATGTATATAATTTTATTGATCTGCGTTTTTTTGTTTTTTTCCTTTTCTTTGGTTACTTTGTAACCTTCATTATCACATGTGTGTGTTAAAGAGGATTGTATCATATATAATTTGTGTTAGAATCTAATATATTATTGTTGTATATTTTGCATGCAAATCTAAAATAAAATTAATAAAATAATAAATTTGAAAACATACTAACAAAAGCGAAACTTATTTAACTATTTCCTTATACTTTTGTGCATTTCCTTTGACTTTATTTTTTTTATTCTCTCACATATGGATTCAACAAACTCTATAAACTATACAAAACCTACTTCTCATCATCAAATTAAAAATTTATCCGCTTTTATATGATAAAACCAAAAATCGACCATGCAAAATTTCACTCGCGTACCACGTACAGTCGGACCTATTGAATGAAACTAATCAAATTATCGCCGACATTAGCGTGGTAAATAACAATTTCATTTAGAGCAAGTGCACCGGCAAATTCGCGTATCGTATCGTATACTATCCTTCTAAAACTAACATAATTCTATAAAAATGAAAAAAGGTTAGTTTTTCATCTTTTATTTCATTAAATTATTTGATTATCATACTTTTTGAATTATCTAGAAATTTCACAGCCCCACTCATTAACATCACAACAAAGCACCATAATCATCAAATAAATCCACCAATATATCATAATCTAAAATCGAATACTTTTAAAAAGCATGCTTAAATAAAACTATTTACATTTATTTATTTTTTTTTTAAACATGAAAAAATGGCTAAAAGTTGAAAATATAAACTGTGAAGAGATTTATTGTCCCGTAGAAAGAACTTCTTCTAACACACCAAAGGCTTGTTCTTTTTCTTCCTTAAGGCCGTGTGATGTAAATTTGAGGAATTCTCGATTTGAAGTTCTAGAAACAATTAGCTTCTCATGCCTATAAAATATATTTATTGTAATGACAAAATGTCATAAATTTCATAAATAAATGCCTACTTCTTATACATACATTGCATCTGATCTTTCTAGTTAATCTATTCAAGCTTATATGAACCGTAATCGGTTGATCTATTCTTATAATATTTATTTAAAAAAAAAGAGAGGGAGCAAACGTCGTCCAGCCTTTTAGAAGAACACAGTATTTTTTGGCCATTTTTTTTTTCATTTTTCATATCTACACGCTTTGTTCATTTCTTTAATATCTAAATAAATATTTTTTTTTTGTTTTATTTGTCCGTCATTATGAGAAAAGATTTATTTACTGAGTGTGAAATATCACTACAATATCCAAAATTTATCTTTAGGTGAAACTTTGATACCCGCGTGAATACATTTTTTTTGCGAAATATTTGTCCAATTTTGATACATATTTTTGCAAATACAATGTAATTTCACTTTTTTCCAGAGCTGTTTAGTAATCGCGTTAATTTTCAAATTTAATGTGTTAATATTTGCTTACCCTTAAAATATCAAGAACAAAGAGATAGATGGACGGACAGAAATAGCAGAACGCCACAAGCGCATTTCGGATAATGCAAAATATAATAATATAATAATGTATAAAGAGTTTCGAGAAGAGTTTTCCGCAGGATTCTAATAAAAACTAAATCAGTATGTGCTTTTGACGTAAGGAATGCAAGCCTAAGAACGTGTAATCTTCAGCTAATAAATTACTGATAGAAATACAACAGCTTTTTAGGCGATGTTCTCCTAAAGCTGCGCATGAACGAAATCTGAATCCTTGTTTTTGAAAGGTTCGGATGTAGGAGGGTACAATGCTTATGACCGAGAAAACGCAAGGAACGACCAGAACAAAAATGGTGCTCGAGAATATTTTCGAAACAGATGGTAGTAAACATCATAGAGAATTTTGATATTTCTCTTAATGTAACATTACAGTAGCATTCGAGTGCTCATTCGTTTCATTCCCATTATATATATATAAAAGTGGAAGTATTCCGCACACCTCCGTCTTTCTGTGACATGCATATGTACCAAAGGAAAAAAGAAAATAATTCGTTTTCATCCTTTATGCCGGCTCACTGTATGTACTGTTTAATGTACTTTATGCAATTCTCGGCGCCATCCTTAAATTAGTGCGCAAAACGCCTTTCCTACTTATTTGATGTAACTAGTTTCGTAGATATATCCCAGGCGTGACGAATCGTAATTTCCTTAATACGAAAATTAAACTGTACACAAAATTGTTATAATTACAATTTGTTATTTAGTTGTCCCGTGTGGTGCGATAAGAACTATCTAAGGAATCCTGTTCCTAAGGCTGTTAATTGGCGGCGCACAACCACTAGTCGCATTAAGAAGAAGAAGAAAAAGAAGAGAAAACACAGATAGACTTATTGACGCAGACATAGATGGGATACGTTTGCTTGCGATAGCCAGAAATGTGTCTTAAAAGTTAATAAAGTTTGTGTTTCATCGATGAGCGCCAAATTTTGATTTAATTTAATTATGCCTGTTGTTTTTTCGGGGTTCGTCTATCATTAGAACGATAATGGCAACTTTGCGAAAAGCTTTCATTTGGTTTTAATTGGCGGATCAAGTAGGAAAGTAAGCCAGTTTCTGTGGCCAACCGGAACCGTTCATAAAGCCAGTACTATCTGATTTGAAAAGTAACAACTGTTTGCACAATATGTGTCTTTATTCGTTAAGGAAGGTCTCGTCAAGAATGATGTAATCTCCTCTAACGTTTCGATACTTTTTGATAGAACCTCGAGGTCCAAGGCAATGGGAATGCGAGTTTTTTTATTCTTTGTATATGCGTCGTGACCTATTGACCTCTATTTTATATTACATGTGCCACCATTTGGGCAGTCAGAAAGAGGAGAGGGAAGGGAAAAAAGAGAGGTGGTGACTGCAGCCTAGATGATGTGTGCCCACTACGGCTACAACCAAAGTAGTAAACGTTATCGCACTCGAACATGCGAGCACTCGAACACTGCGAACTTACGGCTTATAAGCGTCCCTATTTTATGAACATATAGGCGGGTATAATTTCATTTAAAATTTGATTTGAAGGTTTCTTTAAATGAGATAATTCCAGTTGATTTACTAACACGTAGAAGGGGCGATGGTTAGTATCCAAGATTCGCCATTAAATGAACACTATTTAATTTATTTTTGTTTTTGGCTAAAGCTAACGTGTTAATTACAATCTTTCTTTATTTTCTTTTTAATTTTACAGATTGATAATTCTTTGAACATCTGTTATTAGATAAGATTATGTTTAAAGCTTCGAATTGTTTTGTATATTTTGCAGAGTTACGTAAATTTTGAAACAATGGTATTTAAGAAACATCAATCCAAATTTTAGAGATTAAATGTACATATATACGCTTGATAGGCTACGATTGTGCGAGTACCACTGTTCCAAATTTATTTTTAACATATAACTATTAAAATGATTTTTTTTTTGGCTAACATGTTTGTATTCTATTTCGTATTGTGAATTTATTTATTTTGTCTTGTTATTTGATTAAGAGGAATCATTTTAAGTTTTTTATATAAATTCTACAATTTTAGAATAAAAAATTTTGAATTGAAAAGAGTGAGAATTAGATATATTAATGGTGATAAATACTTTTAAGTTTAATAATTAAAATTTTTTGTTTTTTAATTTTATAAGTTTTTTGTTTAAAGCTAAACAGAAAGTAAGAAGAAACCAGTAAATTACAAAATTAATGAATGAGAACAATTGAACGCGATCGCAACAATTCTAATTTGTTTTATTAAGTTTTTCTATTTATTTTTTTGTTTATTTATTTTTCAACTTGAAGTCTTTCAGTGATCGTTTCCTGTGACTTTATATATTTTGTAAAAAAATATGAACAACGTACTGTTTAACAATTCCGGTTTTCTTTTAAAAAAATAGTATAACAATATGAAGAGAATAATCGAATAATTGAAGGTTTTGCCTATTTATCCCATAATTCAAGCGTTTCAAAACAACGACTGAAGTCAAGCCTTTAGAGCGTGTTTTCAAGAGCGTGCTCCTCGAGTATATTCCAAGAGAGAGACCTATCTTCAAGCCCATCCGATCTTGCCAACAATTTTCACGGTCGGACTTTCGAAGAGCAATTCACTCAAACCTTTTAATTTTAACATTACAATAACAGCATATGCCGCGGCGGTATATTCTTAAAAGTGAACTCATAGCAAAAAATTGAAACATTTTAAAGTATTTCTTCTTCGGGTACAAAGCAGTGAACCACTCGTTGGCATAAACATTTATTTAAGTCGCAGAAATTCAGTTTCCTTGCTTAAAATGTTCGCGAACGTGAATGCTGTATATGCATTCATTTTCCTTGTGATGCACAATGACGTGGATGTTATAATATTTAAATTTTACAGCCAATTATTTCTTGGAGTATTGACTAAGTGACGCTTTAGGTTTTTCCGTATTATTTCATTTTTAAAACGCTTTAAGTTCATCGATATAGGAAGAGAGAAGATACTCTCGTTGTTCCTTTTGCTCATGTTTTCTCTTATATGAATGCTACGGCATTCACGTTATCCCAGTTGAAAAATTTGATCTATATAGTCTTGAATGGTGTAGCATTCTTTGCATATATCGATTAAAATATGATCTTTTAACTACTCTTAGAAAACGTATTCAATAAGGGTTGAGATATCGCGACTAAATTCAAAATAAATTGACTACCTTATTTTGTTCCTCACTAAAATGTTTACTGTTCGCGAACGTGTTGAAAATCGAAAATAAAAAAAAAAGTAGCGACAAGCAATTAGCCCATCTATTTATTTTCTTCTTTTGATATCATTTCCTATGGGCTCGAATGCGTATTGTAGCCGACACTACTTGTGGTGCAAGGGTATATTAAGTTTAGGCGAATGTATGCAACAGCAACAACACACAGAGAAGATATACTCACCTTCTATTATACCAATGGATTGAGAATCGGTCTAGGCTTCTCTGTCTATGTATCCGTCTTGTTTTCTTCTGTTCCAGTTACAGCATGCAAGTTTCGAGGTATATTGATGGAATTGGCACACTGACTTGTTTTGGTCCAAGGTTGAGCACTATTGAAACTGATTCGAATCGGAAGGATGACCGATTTTGCCGCTTCCCGTACAAAGCCTTATTTTGAAAAGTGGTTATATGAGGGACTGTAGTGTGGCGCAGAATATTTAACCAGTCTGTGGCCCACTATAGTATTTTTACTTGTTCACTGTACTTGTTTTTGTATCCAAATATCGAAAAGAATCATCCATTCTGAGTTTTTACATTCGTTCATTCACACGCACTAAACATGTCATACCTTCTCATGCTTATAGATTCCTATTCTTATCACTATAATCTATGCCTCACATGCTTCACATTAATGCCATTGCCGGACTTATAACCTGTTTCTTTATTTGCTGATCTAATTTAAGTAGTACGCGCATCAAACAACACAGGAGTTTTTATGAGAAAGCAATGTTTCAATAGAGTTTGCTATATTTTATGTAAATTTATTTCACAGCTAATCAAATTCCAGCCTACAAGTCAGTCCATTAGTTCGGCTAATATAAAGACCACTTATAGGAACGCTTCAACTATTTACAAATAGTATTTTTTGAAAATTAAAGAAATGCTGTTCAAAAATTACGACTCTTACAACAAAAACTGTATGAGCAGCCCGTTGTGCTAGACAATTAAGTCAGGTCGATAGACAAAGTATACGAAACGACTGGCTCAATCCATTTCTCATATTGCTTGTGTAGGTTAAGCGACAGGTGATAGAGCGCATATAGAATAAAAAATGTGTACACAATCTTTCGTATAAATACGCAAACACATTCAGCAATGTTTACGTAAAGCATTCCTTTAATGCAACTTTTCTTAAAAGAAAGGCTTTAAAACTTCTGTAGGAATAATAAAAACTTAGAAAAAGTTAGAAAATTTGAAGGATGAGTGATAACAAGTAAGAAAATTATATTCGGTCGTGACCGAATCTTTTAAACACATCACAGTTATCCTAAAGCTTATTTTCAAAATAAAACTTTTCCTCGCTTAGGCACGTGAGCGTTGCCTTTGAAAAGCTTAGCTCACTTCTAAATTCTTTTGAACATTTGTAGACGAACGTGGGACTGCAGGTAATGAAAATAGCTCACACGGTCAGACAAAAGTTCTTAACCTTGGTCAAATTTTTTCCTTTTCCATTATACAGATACTAGAGCATCGTCCATAGAATATGCTTTAAAATTTTTTTACATTTATGGGCTATAGTTTATGAGTAATGAGCTAAGTTTACGTAGTGCTTTAGTAGTTGTAGTAGTTTACGTAGTGTGTCCTTTCACTGATTTAGTCCATTTTCAATATCAAACTGGGTGGAGAAAGTTCCAACGTTCCTGCCAAATTTGAAGTCGATAGCACCATTTTTGCGGCCAGGAGGATGTTTACAACAGATATTACGGACGTACTTAAATCGATTTAACATTTGGTGCTAATCAAAAATGTATATACTTTGCATGTTCCTTCAAGCTTCACACAAATAACTGAAACGAGCGCAAAGTGTAGTCGACCCATTTATAACATGATAACTCGTTCCATTTTATAAGATTCCGTCTTGTACGAGTCATTTAGATTCTAGAAATACATGACCTGCTCAAAGCGATCAACTCAGTTAACCGTTTTTGACGAAAATAATCGTCATGAAAAAAGGACAACATTTTATATTAAGTTGTGTGAATAGCAGTGACAACTTGCAGTTTAAATTGAAATTTTAGTGAAAATTTCAATGTATTCGTAAACTTTAAAATATTTGACATATTTCGAAGCCAAGTCGAAACAACAGTAAGTCGACGAGCTAATTCGGATAATGCACCCTCAACTCCAAAAGGTTATTCTATATATGGAGTATTGAAGCGAAATAAAAAAATAAAAGTCATTTCACTACAACCTAATTTCATAGTACACACACCCTGTGTGTGACGAGTATACTCCACATCTCTAAATTTTTGCGACGCAATTTAGACACGCATGGTCCAGAGAGATTGAAAAAGTTAATTAATTAATAGTCAGACCTAAGACACTACTTGAAAACAATTTTTATGGCCGTTGAAGAATGGTTTTTCTCACGACAGAGAAAGAGAGAGAAAGAGAAATGTATAAAAAATTTATCAGTACATATTTTCTCTTTATTCATACTTTTACCATGTCACGCGGGCCCCTTTTAGCTTATTATAGGAAACCATCCTTGTATACCCGCATTGCAAACAATTAAAAGGACAAAACAAAAGCGAAAAATCAGTCTTCGAATTCATAGCAAAATATAACAAAAAGGAAGGAGGATCAATAAGTTGGGCAAGCGTAACTGCTAGTCACTATTTTTAAAATGATAATTTTTTTCCTCTATCGAGGCAAAGTATAGAATGAAATATTTGTACATACTCGTTGTATTTTTTTAGATGGTATTGCGTTCCCGTAATACCTCAACGTGTATCGCTTTTTTTTCTTTGTTATTTAATAGTTCGCTATACATTTGGAAAAATAAACAACAACACGTTGAGTCGTTGTTCAAAAATTCTAACCTACGTATACCTATATGTGTATATATATATATATATATATATATATATATATATATACATATATCCGTAAACTCATTTTATACTACTCAGTAAAACTGCACAAAATTCTTGACGGATTAATAACTTTTGCATTTTAATTTTTTTATTTTTTTTATATATTTTTTATGTTATGTGTTAATGTATGGTATGTAATGGTAATCGTAACAACGCCTGAATGAAAGATGGAAATTTTGGAGCACGTTCAAAATCCTGTCTCAACGCGTGTCCAACTTTTAGGATTTTATGGCAAAAGTTTATAGAATTTACTAAATCGAAAGATGTATATGTGTGTTTGTTATATTATATTTTCGAAATAAAATGCAAAAATATGGCTAAAAAAATTAAAAATATTTATAAATTAGTAAAAATTTTAAAAGTATTCAAAATACAAACATTTTTAAGTGTAATTTAATAAATCATTTGAAAAAAGTCAACAATAATAAAATGTAATGATTTCAGTTTTTATTGCATTAATGGTCAAAAAAAAAGAAATATAAAAACTAATTTGATTTAGAGCTTAGAACACACTTTTCTTAAAATCAATAAAATGGGGTACAATTACGTTCACCTTCGAAGGCCTGTACATTCTTACAAAATGACTTTCGCAATATCCAAAATTCGGAGCTGTTAAATTCGCATTCGCATAGAAATATTTAGTATTTAGTCGCCCAAGTACTTAAGAAGTCTCGGATGAGATCGCTTTACGCCCTGTAGCGTGAAGAATTGTTTGGAAATAGTGTACGATACAAATGACAACCAAAACTGAATATTGAACAACCTGGTATCTAAAGAGCTTGCTGCAGGTAATGGACTATTATGGTGTAGCAAAGCTCTTAACAAACTTTGAATTCTCGTAAACAACAACCAATCAACTCGCAGTTCTATGTTTTCTTAAATTTGAGCTACGAAAGCTCTACGCTGATTATCGAAGACGGCTCGGCTCTCATTGCCGATTTTTCACGTAATCGTCAATAACTGAGCTTTGCCGAATCGCGTTTTTAAGACATTTTATGATACATTTAGCAAAAAGAAGATCATGTAATATACGCTAAGCATACTTCAAAATTGGATTTTATCAACGAATCAACGTCTTCCCTAACAAAGAGCAGTCGGGTAAAATAAATTAATTACTATAGAATTGATTTCAATATGGTGAGATTATTTCCAAAATCGCGTAACACTAAGAAAGGCAGTATTAACAATATGCCATGCAGTTATACTCCACCAATAATTTAATTATTCCTCGACTCATACACTTACTTTCAATTTTGTTTTAGTACGGTATTTCTGTGTTAACGTCTCTAAATTTCAACAAGCATTGCCGCCATTCCGCTCGAACTATTGTCAAAAGTGTGTGAATGTACAGCAATGGCATCGCGTTGTCTTTTCAAAGGTTTCGTGCAGCAAAAGTGTTGTCGAACTAAAACTACGTTTTAGAAAACTATCAAAATACTATATAAGCAATACAGATTTGAAGCATGCATGGAAGTATTTATAGGGTAAAGACAAGTATATCCGTATTGTATCAGCGAAGAAAAATGGAAGTGTACATCAGTCGACGGCGAAATTAATAATTCAATTCCAGAAGAGAAAAAAACTCAGTTAAGTGGGCAGGCATTCTTTGTTGTTGTACATTGCAAATCTCAGGTTATCTTCCAATTATAGGCGTTCAATAATCAAAACCATCTGAAGTCAAAATGCTTATATGCCCACTAAATATTTCGATTTACAGATAAGAATAAAATCGATGACCTAACAATACTTCTCAGCACCGATTAGTGTACTGCCTGTTTGATCAACGCGATTACAAGATGGTCCCTTCGTACAATAACTTCTGTAGAGATCTGCTGGGGCGTGGACGAGGTAAACTCGCTCACCCACCTATATTGTCTCTGGCTTTTTCTTTGTGGCAAAATGACAAAGTCCGCTGGGTGGAGAATTGCTCGAAGACCTTGAGGATTTCCGGTACACGTGGTTCTCATCTATGCTTTCACAACCTAGTTATTTTAGATGTTCCCGTACCAAACAGTGGCTTAACTGGCCCATGTCTGAACTAAGTGAATCTAAGGCGCTCTATTACTGGAAAACTTGAGATTTCCACTTTTACAAGCTTGTACTCGTATTTTGAAAAACACCACAAACGAACGAGACACGATAAACCAATTAATTAATGAACGGTGAAAAGATTACTCTCGTGCGGAGAACTAGAAATATCAAATTTTGCTCTGCATAGTTAATTGAAACGATTCCCACATTTAGCGTAAAGGACAGAAAGACTCTGACAAAACTTATACGACCATATTCATTAAAGATTTAACATAAGAGAAATTTAAGTTTTCTACCCTGTTCGCTCAAAGTATGGTCAATAGATTCTTTCTTATCAAACTATTTAAGAATTTTCGTCTCTTTTAAAACATTCCTTGCGAAGAGAACAATTTTGGTGCAAAAGAAAATTGCGCGTCTATGTTTTTAATAAAAAACCCAAAGCTGCCAAAGCGGCAGCTACACCAATTGAACAATATAAACGTCCATGACATAAATCGGTCTTTAACTGCTGATAAAGCATTAAACGTCCGCTTCCCGTTAGTCTGAATGGATCCGCGGGATAAAACTTCACTCTAAAAGAGAACAGAGATGGATCTACGTCTATAAAAGAAGAAAGTAGAAAATTTCCTTTAAATATTATAAATGGAAAATTTGATAAACAAACTGCACCTAATACGCATATTACCTTTGTATTGTTTTATTATGGATTTGCCCAAATCTAACCAATGCTGCAAAATGAAATAAACCCAAAAAATGTAATTCATTAGTCGAACTTATTACTTGCATTAGAACTGAAATGAATTTACCCTCTGCTTTGAAGCGTCAACATAACATAAGCCGAAATAATCCTTTTCGTTAATTTCCAAGTGTTCGCATAGGTATTCCACCAAATAGCTGCCTCTATGAAAAGATTAAAAATGAAAATTTATTCATAAGGATAATCCATCTGTATGCCCGATAAATACACAATATTCACAATACTTATGTACAAATTTTTAATCGTTTGATTGCGTATCTCCTCTTTTCAGTGAATTCTTGTAAGTGAAGGTTGTGAGCTTCTTTTATTCAATAAAATTATTCTTTTAATTTTTAAAACTTTAATTAACTTAATTAAACTCCGTAGCAGTCAATCAGTATTGCGGAATTTTATTTGGTCGTTAAATGCGTGCCACACGCACACATTACTATATTTTATTACTGTTCACTTTGCATCGCTCCTAACTGTTTCAAATTATTCAAAAGTTTTCATGTTAAATTTAAGCCGATTCTGCTTAGTAGATCAGATAAACAGCAATCTATATATAATTCCGATGCTATTGCCATTGCCAGTAACAAAAATGTATAAATTCTATAGAACATATTTAATTCTCCGGTCAAAAATGTTCCCAAATATTAAATATATATATGTATATTTTGCGTAATGTGTAGAAAAAAATTGTTCAATGAAGCGGAAAATTCTGCTTCATGGATGTCATTCTAAAAGTTTAAGAGTCGGTAGGTTAGGCTACAAAGCAAACATAAATCTATTCGAGACAATTTCTTACATTTGGTTTTTATAAGGATGATAGCAACAGTACTATAATTACCTAAAGAATTGTAATTTCAAATTCATTCATTCATGTAATCATAAATACATTAACTGATAATTAACAATAAGGAAGAAAGCAAAAGAACTTGTTAGAAATCCGATGCTATTTGCACTTGTTTTTTAACAAACATAACCTATAAAAATATAAACATAAACGTGTATATTTACGAAACATGTGTCTTAAAGTAAGATGAAAGGATAATCACAACCAGATTTAAAGGTGGAGTGCAATTATATATATTTACTTGTTTCTCATAGAAAATATAGCGTTCGTTAATAGCGCAAGCATTTAAAAAGTTCAAATGCGTAACGCAATTTTAACTATATATTCATTTCATACTAAATAAATGTATATAAAAATAAAATATATATAAAAAAATGATTAAATGATTGCTTTGAATTTTACATAAAGTATTAGTTTATATAAACCACCCAGATTCCACGAGTTAAACCGCCAAAACTCCACAAATACGCTAAATAAACCACCCAAATTCCACAAATACGGTAAATAAACCGGCCAGATTCCACAAGTACGGTATACAAACAGCCCGAGTTCCACAATAGCGTTACCAAAGCACTTTAATTATTATGGTTAAGACAATCTCTCTTTTAGAGTTGCATTTGGAATAAAACTGCGGCAAAAGAAAACTATAAACGGCTGTTAGCAAATGAATTATTAATTCAAGTATTTAACGTTTTAGATCCAAGGCTGTGAAAAGAGTGGTTTATATATTTTATAAATTTGACTGGCACTCAGTCATACATTCTCATTGTGCGCACTATTGTTTACTAAAATACACTTCTATACACAAGCCTTGACGGGCTTGTAAATTGTGTACTGTGCTGTCAACAATTTCATCACGAGATACTGAATTATTCTTGAATTACTCTCAGATGTTACTAAATTTATAGTCGTTTTTTCAATGTGACAGCTGCTAACAAATACAGACTGACTCTTTGAATTATACTCAATTGTAAACAAATACAAACTGACTTTTACAATTATTCTCAATTGCAAACAAATACAGACGCTTACTCTCAGATGTTACCGAATTCAGACGCTTACTCTCAGATGTTACTGTTCATACACCACACTCATCAAACACCTGATTTATTATATGATAACTGTAGTGACGCAATAATTTTAAAAATACTTAGTATTTTAAGGAAGTGTGTGTGTGATGTGTGTATGTGATTTTCTTTCCTACTAGACTAGTTACCTTTTTTCTTTTTTTCCTTTACCTTTAATTTTCATTTCCTTCGGATTGTGTAAGACTATTTCGTATTGTGGTACTTTATTTTTGCACTCATGGCGGATTTTGTAGTCTATTATAATAGGCCTAAACGGTCTCGAAGTTACATGAGCGCCAATAAATAAGTAAATAAAAGAAAAGTGAAAAATATCCCACAACCAACCAACTGTCATATTCAAGCAGCTGTTATTTAATATCTTTGAATTAATTCTTGTAACGACTTCCGTTAGAGAATTAAAGAGTGAGCAAAGTGCTCGAAAATTGTACACAATCCATTTTCTTTACGCGAATTTTCCTTATACGAAATTTGATTTTACACGAGTTAAAAAGAAAAAGTAGTTCCCTTTTTACATGTATTGTTTTGTTTAAACACGATTTTGAACATCTTATGAATTTTCCCGGGTGTTTTTTTTTATGCGATGTTTCCGAGCGGGATTCTCCGAATTATGCATAGAGTAAAAACACAATGTATTTTTTACACAATTTAGTTGCGTTTTTCAAGATTATACTTTATTTTTTATAACATATTTGATGAATGGAAATGTGTAAGCTCCTGCTAATAAATTCTTAAATGGACTCTAATAAGAATTTTGTAATATTGTTTATTGTACTTTTTAGTTGATTTTTCTTTGGTCTGGAACCAATCCGGTTTTTTCCATTTAGCCAACACACGAATATTTTGAGCACGTATCTATCGTGCAAAAGGAGAATTGCGTACTATACTTCAAATGCTAAGATTTCAACAGAACATAAGTGGATAAATAATTACATCTCGTCGATCGGTTAAAATTCCTAAACCTCTTCAACATTCTACAGTACAAACACAATAAAATAACAAATGAAGATTTAATTATTTTATTTCTATTAATTTCAAACACAAAAAATTCATTAATACATTTCTTATTCCTTATAAAATTAATTATTTTTCAATTTTGAAATGCGCAACCTCTAAACATATTATTATTGGTTCCGTTTCAGATCTCCTAGAAGTGATGATAGAGATTTGGTAAAAAAATAATTTTAATTCATGGTTTTTAAACATTCATAGTGATATTTTAAAAAAATGTAAAAACTCTCAATTCATTTTATTTGTAATTATTCCAATTCCTTTTCTTTATTTATATTTTATGTGATTCTTGCACGTACAAAGAGATTAGAGTTCATGAAAATTGCAAGGAAACGGAATAGCAGAAAAATTTCATATAATAACAATAAACGTTAATTTAATGGTTTTTTGTTTTGATTGCGTTCATTAAGATTCTTAATTTAGGACAGATTTAATTTATATGTTTGTAGTGCAAATTTAAAGAGTATTTAACCGCTACTGATTTGCATTTGAGATTTAATCCAGGTTAATATCTTCATTTACATTTTTTATACTACGTTTCAAATCTTGTTGGAATAAATAATCTGCCGCGGTTTCAGCCTCCTGGCGGCGCCGTCTGCTCATTTCTGGTTTCAATAACACGCGATAACTAACAGTAAAAACTAATGTCGCTATAATGCCCATGCCCAGTACTCCAGGTGGTGTTGTGGCTGCTCGCTTTAGAAATTTAATTATGTTCATCTGTAAATAAACCAAATGAACAGCAAAAACGTAAGTAAGAATTGATTTTTAATTCATCATTTAAAATAATTTTCTTCTATGCACGCACTTCGACTGTTTCATTTATCAGTAGATTCCGAGGTATTGTTAGCAGTCTTGTCTGTATTTAATACATTTTCCTTCTTCCACTTAATAATGAGTGGCTTCCAAATATAGACACCACCTAAGAATCCCAAAGCGGTAACTATCATTAATTGAGTCACTGTGACCCCGCGAGGGCGACGTATTCTCATAACAATCCGCAAACTTCTTTCGTTTTAACTATTAGGTAATAACTAAACAGCTGAGACACTGTTCACTGTTAAGGGCTGCCAAGCTATTAATATTTTGTAAGATAATATACAAGTAAACGTAGAGGTAACTTTTTTTCATTGAATATTTCCGAATTAGGCCGACTTTTTAATAATGGAATCGCCTGCTTGCTTCGTCTATCATTTTCGAATAAATGCATTGTAAGACCAAGAAGTACGTGTTGCTTCAAAAATGCAAAAAAAATTGTCGCATGACATTAAAATGCAAACTATTCCTGCATAATCACAGGGCATTGCCATAGAAGTTAACGTAATTAGAGTGTAACTTGTCGAACATCATATAACCCGACGACTTGTTCTGTGTGACACAAATACGCGTTGCGCGAGTCTTAGCCCTGCCTTAATATTATACAGATCAATTCAGAATTACTTTCTAAATCGATTTACACTCGTCTGCTCGACTGTCCTTCCATCTGTCTTATTTTCTTCTGTTCAACCTACAGACCACAATCCTCGAAATATTTTGATGAAATTTGATACACTGACGCCCCAAGACGAACACTATTAAAAAGGGTTCGGATTGGATCTTATTTCGCCTTCTTTTCTAACGTCGCTGTATGAATAGCTGTACTGTTTTTATTTGTTTGCATTGCTTCTAAAATTTAAGTTTTCACATTAGAAACCGGAGAGTTCAATTATTACCATTTCACCAAGAACTTTTGAAGTAACAAATGGAAATTTCGGCTTTTGTTTAGAGCGAATGTGTTCTCACTACGACTTAGGAAGTCAGTCGACTTCACTTTTGGATATCCGAAATAAGAAATTTGTCCCTTCTACTTTTAATCAAATTTTCCCATGTTAAGTAACTAAGGGGGCTGATACAATGAGGCATTATTCCTATTTCCGGGCTGAGAGTTCCACTTCACGGGCTTTATGGGAATTGACAAATCATATGGTTTTGCACGTATGCATACAAATAAAGAAAAAAACGTACAAGAAGTAATAAGGCAATTTATTTTAAAATTTAAAGTTGTTTATCTAATTTATGCTTGCCCTACACCAACGTACTTTTTGTTTATATTGTGTGCTTTGCTATTTATACTTTTATGCTATATTTTAATTTATACTATAGATTTTGTTGTTATACTAAACATTATTTTGTAGGATGTAAGAAACAAGCAACAAAATCCCATTTATTTTAAAATTGCAATATATTCACCAAAATGTTTTTAGAGAGTGATAAATGGTAGTTTCCAAATTATGGATCAATTAATACACAAACATATATCTATTATACACATCTGCATATATCTAATCAATCTTCTTTATCATTAATACAACAAACAATTTATTTATTTATTGTTAACTTTTATGATAACTTTCTTGTTACAATTTTTTATAAATTTACAAAACTGCTTCTCTATATGTACAATCTACGGTGCAAATTTTGTACAGTATTACGCTGCTAGCATTATAAACGCACCCATAAATTTGATACACTAGCTTTGAATGATTACCTGCCTATAGCTAAGAGTGACGAACCACGCTACCATGCTCCCAAAGCTATATGAAAAGAATTCAGCTCTGTCCTCATATAGTTTTATCAGTTACTTTTAATTTCATATACATAAAACAAAAAACTATATTTTCACTATATGGTGAAAAAAAAGAGGAGAAAAATATTCGCGACCCCCTTGACAGCTGCATACAAGAAGGTACTAAAGATTTGTCTGCAAGCTAAATGAATGAATATAGCTTTCAATAGTTTTTGCTATTAATTAATTATTATGGGAGTCCATTTGAACCAAACCAAGACAATATGTACATATATAGAGATTTAAGGTTTAAAATTATATGATTTTTTCAAAAAACAACGAAATACCTAACGGGAGAGACAGACTCAGGCCAAACACAAATACAAACTTTCTGATTTTACTCCTCTTGCGGTGCTTTCTAATGTTACTTTTTTTAACAGTACTTTGAGATCAATTTTAAGCATGAGAGCAACATCAGTTTACATGACACAAGCTAACATTTTCTGTTACATCGAGCTTCACTTCGAACTTCTTATGTCAAGTCAATGAATTCGTTTCATTCTCTTTCTTTCTCTGCTTCTCAAAGTCTTAACAGCAGCTTAAAGCGGATAATAATTACGAAGGAATAAGAACTGGTTCTTTATTTGTTAAGTTCAGTACATCATCATCGCTTAGAATCTTAGTATTAAGAGCGACGCAAAAACAACGATTGTATTGTGAAAAATTGTGAATTTTTAATAAAACGAAATATATACAATCATCGCTAATTTGACCGCATATAAAAGATAAAACCAAAGTTTAAATAAAAAGTGAAAATAATGATAAGAAAAAGCTATAAACCTTTCATATGTGGCACTGCTTTGGTTTTCTTTACGGCACTAAATTTGATTGGGGCCACAGTAAGACCAGAAGCAAAATCTTTAGATGAAAAAAATTTGCTTAAACGAATGGAAATTTTCGACTCAATTAATACGCAATTTTTCAGCCCCGGAATCTCTACATATGATGACTATGATGATTACGTGCCCTTTAGCAGTGATGCTCATGATCGTTTTTCTTGGGGGCTGCTTAAACTTGTGTTAAAAGAAGAAAAAACAAACGTGATTATATCACCCTTTTCGATTAAACTGTTGTTAGCTGTATTAGCCGAGGCCACTAGTAACAATACGCAGACTCAACGAGAACTATTAAATACGTTAGAAGATATTAAATCAACTGACAATCTGCGTGGTTTCTATAGAAAACTGTTGGCTTCCCTAAAAAAAGAGAATCCCTATTATAGCCTCAATCTGGAGACTAGAATATTTGCGAGCGAATTTATTGAACCTGAGCAACGCTACGCAGCAATGTTGTTTAGTTATTATGATACAGGTATAGAACGTTTAAATTTCACCGATGAACAGGGATCAGCCGATTTTATTAATAATTGGTGCGCTAACGCAACTAATGGGCATCTCAAGAGCTTAGTTAGTAAAGACAATATTAAAGACAGCGTATTACTGCTAACAAATGCAATTTATTTCCACGGCACATGGCGGCGCCAATTTAACGAAACCTACGAAGGACTTTTTTTCAGAGCTCCAAATGCAGAAACGCGAGTGCAATATATGACAATCACGGATTATTTTTATTACTACGATCATATGGACGCCAAAATTTTACGCCTACCATATCGGGGTAAAAAATTTTCAATGTTCATTCTTTTGCCTAAAATTAATGGTGGTATTGAGGAATTTCTTGACACCCTCAAGAATGATCAAGTGAAGTCGTTGCAATTCATGATGGAGGAAACTAAGTTGAAAGTGACTTTACCAAAATTTCATTTTGAATTCGATAAAAACTTGAAAGAAACGTTAATTGATCTGGGAATACGTGATATTTTTACAGACCACGCCTCGTTGGCAGGCCTAGCTAGAGGTGCCGGTGTTGCCGGTAGACTAAAAGTTACCAACGTATTGCAAAAAGCCGGCATTGATTTCAACGAAAAGGGTACCGAAGCTTATGCCTCCACAGTTTTCGAGATTGGTAATAAATTTGGCGGTAATCCCCTTCTTGAAGAATTTAATGCCAATCGTCCGTTTATATTCTTTATCGAGGAAGAGCAGACCGGAAGTATTATGTTCGCCGGGAAAGTGTTAAAACCGGTTTTTTAAAACAATACCGGTTAAAAGTTATAAAATTATCTCTAATTAAAAATCGAAGTAATAAATAAAAGGAATTTTAAGAAATATGTAAACGACGTTAACATTGCATTGAACATTGTTTGCGTCGTCGCTTTATTTCCTTAGCACTTATGTGGAGTTTAACAACTCCATTCTACAACTATTCAACAACTTATATATGCCTCATTGTAAATAAACCCGTCAATTTTAACCTCCCGAACAGGCATAAAATGCTGTAGGAAGTTTCAAAATGCTGAAAAAGTGAGAGCGATACAAAATAAAAGCAAAATTTTTTTCGCAACAACAGACATATTCGAAAGCCGTCTAATGCTTTGTTTCAAAAAGGTCCTTGATCCGTTCACTCGCATATACTCCCAGTAAACAAAGACGTATTGCTTCGTTAATGTACGCAAATATGAAAAAATTTCCAAAAGTTTTGGAAATTTGCTGAATGCGGCAATGGTAATTATTATTATGAGTTTGATAGAAAGTTATAGTAAGCAAGTCTGATTGAATACATGGCAATAACCAAAGGTGCAAATAACTAATGTCGTATGTAATAATTCGAGTTAATTTTATGCTTGATCAAGACGCTCGCAAATGTAGAGTAAAACCAGATCCACTTACATGGCCATTGCATGTGCTCTTATTGGGTAATAAACGCTGACATTTTTCTTCAGAATAACATAAGCAAAAAAAAAATTCTTGTTAGTAACCGCGAGTACAATAACACGTCCTTATAAAACATGATCATATATGACGATTTTCTCTTTGGAAAGTCTTTGAAAAAATTCGTGCAAGAAATACAACCTAATTATACTATATGCGTATAAAAGTAACAAGTGTGTTTGCGACACATGTTCATCCAGTATAGAAATGTATTTGTTAAATAAATAATATGGGCGGTTTACTCACAATTGTTCTTCATTAAGGTACATCAGATGTTTGGAAAGGATTAAAAAAATGTTGAACGAATCTGGCTTGTCCTTCCAGTGTTCCTAAATTTTAAACACCTCAAAGAAGTGTATACTTTTATGAACAGATTTTGGAATTATTCTCACCACGTCGACTAAATGCGGCTCCGCTCACAGAAAAGGTGCAGAAAATTTACTAAATTCAACTGAATGACTGCAATGGCACGGACTAGCAAATTTAGTAGGCATCTTAAAAAGTATTATATATTGCTCTTTGAAAGTTGTGCGTAAAATGGGCACCGTACTTGCTTGCAATGGAAGAAATACATTGTCTTCGATTTACAACTATGGACGCTAGAATTCTATTTTCAGAATCTTTGGTATTTTCTTGATCTAGTCGAGCATTGCTTTAGGAACAGTCCTCGAATAAAAAGACCGCATTGATCTAAAACTTGGTACTAATAGGTTCTAATGCCAGCTGAAAAGTTAGTGCAAAAGTTCTGATATTATTCGTGGTGATTACACAAGGTGTTTCGTTCTAAAGCAAATATAACAATAAGTAATAAGAAAATTATATTCGGTCGTGGCCGAACCTTTTATACCCATTGCCGTTACCCTAAGAAAGACTAAAAACACAAGGAAAATCTTAATATTCTTACTCTATAATATTAGGTGAGCGGAGCCGACTTTTACCGGTTTTTAGAATAAAAGAAGACAAAGAACGGTGGTAAACAAAAGCCATCTCAGTTTTTGTTGCATAGGCATGTGGGTATTGTGCTTTTGCCAATTCAGATCATTTTGAAATTCTTTGGCAAATTCACTTATGGCAGAATATTAGCAGAATATTGAGAATATGGAAGAATATTAGATACAGGTGGACAAATGAGCAGACGAACAAAGTGACCTTAAGTGCATTCCAAATTTGAAACTGGCCAAGAATTTATATACTTTACGAAAAAAATGAAATTGTAGCACATTCTAAAATTGGCTAGGCGTGGCCGACTTTGTCCATTTTTATAATATTGCGTCTCCCATAGGATATTCTTTCAAATATATACAGGTTTATCTGCTGCAGTTTGCGAGTATGAGAATGAGCAAAAAAAACTATCCTTTATTCCTTTCGGAAAACACCTGAATTCTCAGTTTGCATGACAGTATACGCGCGTCCTTCAACCGGTTTAACCCGTTTTCAGTATCTATGTGCAAGGACTTCCAATGTTTCAGCCAAATTTGAAGCAGATAGCTTCATTTTTGCAGCCAGGCGAATGTTTAGAACAGACATTACGCAGACGGTGGTGGTTAAGTCGATTCAAAAATTGGTCCTGGTCAGAAAAATACACATTCTTTGTGGGGTCCCTGAATCTTCTTTCTGAAACTTCCTGGTAAATTGACAAAATGAATAATACTCCTCATCTTCTACTGTACAAGTCCAAACAATATAATTTTGAAGTGATGATAGGAAGTGGTTTCGTTCGACAGTTCGAAAATATAAATTGTTTACTTTTTTTTTTTTATACAAAAGATATGAGTCAAAAACTAATCGAAATCATTTTATTTTGCGAGTAAAACGCGATGTGTATGGAAGATTAACACGATCCCACTGTTCATAATCAGTGTATGCATACGTGCGCATATGTGTATATAAAAACACAATATTTACCACTTAATTTGTACAGAATCTTGGAAATTCCAAAATGCTAATTACTTTGACTTTCATATTAAATTCTTATGTTAATAACATTTGAAATTTCCAAGATTACATACGAATTTAGCGGTTAATATAACTACTGCATTTTTACGTACATATACATCTCTTAAGAAAGAAAAGATGATAACTGTTTTCTTAGCTGCACCTTACTCGTGAACACTAAATTATAAAATGTAACAAGTAGGAAAATTATATTCGGTCGTCACCGAATCTTTTATACCCAGCATAGTTATCCAAAAAAAGAAAAAGAAGTAGAAAAATTATATTCGGTCGTCACCGAATCTTTTATACCCAGCATAGTTATCCAAAAAAAGAAAAGGAGAGAGCGCTGTTGATTCTTTCTATTTTCAAAATAAAAAATTTTGTCGTATAGGGGTGTGGGCGTTGAGTTCTTCGTTTTCACTAACGGGAGAATTTTTACCACAGACACTGCACACTTGGGTTGATGGACAGACAAACAAACTGAATTACTTAAGTACATTCCAAATTTACAACCGGTTGCGAATTTATATACCTTATAGGGTTTCTGCGCGTCATAAAGACATTGAAAAACAAATGAAGTTTTGATTCACTATAATGCTGGGTAGGCATGGCCAATTCTTTTCCATTTTCATTGTGTAGATAGTACAGCATGGCCCATAGAACATATTTCAAATTTTTGTACATTTATCGGCAGTAGTCGAGCAAGAAACGAATTCTTTATGCTCTTTGAAAAACAAATGTCTCGTAGATTTACGTACTACTGTAGGCATGTCCTTCGACAGACTTGGCACATTTCAAATACCGACCTGCATGCAAGAATTTGCAATATTAGTGCCAAATGTGAAGTTGATAGCTTCATTTTTGCGACTAGGACGATGTTTACAATAGGCATTATACAGACGGCCAGACGGACGAGTGTAAATCGATCCAGTATTTGATGCTGATCGAGAATATATATACTTAGAAGCGGCTCTGGAGCTTCTTCTGGACGTTAAAACGTTTTAATCAAATGAATGCACCCCTGATTCTTCAGTGATGAGTATAAAAACAGTAAGCTCTTTGAAAATGGCATTCTCTTGAAAATTGACTTTTTGTCAATATGAATTTATTTTATACTAATAAGGATTTAAACTTAAGCTACATGAGTAACTGCATTGAGATATATTCAAGGATATGCTTTCCAAATTTCGCGTGTAGCGACAACATTGTATGAAATGTGGAAACGCCTCTAATAGATTATCGCGATTCCTTGGTGCAGACTTCTTTAAATACATTTCAAAGCTTTTCCAATCTCTTAGTATTTGCTATTGTAATAATTAGATTATGAAAATAATTTTTCGATTGGTTGACAGATAATCTATCCCCTCGCAAATTTGTAGCTAAAAGAACGGATGTTTAAAGTTCGATTAAATTAAATCATTATTTCAAGCACAACGGTAATTCTATAGCGCTCATCCTTATATTCTTTTAATAAGTGTAAAGATACATTCGAATTTTTACTGCGCTATTTATCAAGCGAACGTAGAGTAAATCGAACTAGATTTTGAAATCGCCTTCATTATACTCATTTGAATAACGTATTATTTGTGTACGAATTGATTACATGTAATGAAAGAATGTTCATACTTACTTCCGCCGGCGGATAAAATTGCAGCCGGTTGCGGCGATGGTACATGCATTTTATTGCTTTTATTATGATTATTTGATGTAACTCTCGCCCGGTAGTGGTATTGTTGATTCGTGTGCTGTTGTTGTTGAGACTCAGAATTAGGAGCAAGTCTAATGTGATTACCAATAGCAGCTGTGTTAGGCCCAGGGAAACGTCTGCGCTGATATTGTCCACTATTGGTAGGAATACTGCGTATATTCACAAAACTACTCCCTGCGCTAGCACAGTTTTGTTGGCATTGGTGGTGGGGATTATCTACTAAACCATTAAAATTGTAAAGCATATTTTCCAAAGTTTCTATGCGATGTCCGCCAATTAAATTATAAAATGTACCTTGAACATTTATTTGACGCAGCGCACCAACATTTCCTACAGTAGCATTACGCATAGTTTGCTGAATATGTTGTTGTTGATGTTGCTGTTGTTGTTGTTGGACGGCTGCAGCATTCAATAGCTTTTTCAGACCTAAATTATTCTGCTCTTCAATTCGTCGTTTCATTAAAGCATTTTGCATAATCATGTTGGCATGACTCTGCAGTTCTTCATGCGTCATAGGTTGCATAGCGGGGAAGCGCTTACTACCAACCTGGGTATGCTGTTGTTGCTGAGCAGCTAAGGTTTGCTGCACGATAGCCAAATTTTGAAGATTTTGTAATTGATTTATTAATATATTATTGGAAATCATATCGATTTGGGTTTGGGAAGTCTGCTGAATTTGTTGCTGTTGACCAGATGTATACGTAAGTACCGCATTAATGGCTTCACGATCGCGTTGACTCAAACGGGGATTGGCTAGTTGTACTAATAAGCCATGTTTAGAAATTTCACCTAAATTAAAAACATTTCTTTGCTTATTCATCAACGCATTCCTTACACTCCTAGCTTACCTTTTGATAAACCGATCAGCAGCATTTGAGCTTCTGGACGACTCAAAATTCCTTTTAGTTGCAATGTAGCGAAGAGGGCAGCTTGCTGCTGGTGCTGTAAAAAAAAGTTGTGTTTACTGTATGTGTGATGAATCGTCGTTGATGACTGCATAATGCTTGGTTTTTGTTGATAAGATTGTCTAAACAGCAAATTTGCGAGATTTTCGCCATTGCAAATAGGAGTTTGCTTGTATATACCCTGAGTGTCGTCTTTATTACATACTAAGTGATTAACAAATTTCCGAATATTTTCCGTATCTTGTTCCTTCACATCGTTATTAATACTGTTTCCCTTGTTAGGGCTAGTATGAGTTGTACAGTTTTGACGCCATTCAGCCTCCAACTCTTGCACCGAAGGGATTTGGGATAATTTAACATTGGATTTTGAGCCAGAGGCGAACAAACATGGCAGATCAGATTCGTTTTGTGTTTTCATTGTATTCTTGAAAAAGTCACTAATCGAGGCTGATGAATTGGCTTTTTCTACGCATTCAGAGGGATTACGTTTTATGTCGCAAAAAAATGGCAAAAATCGTGAACTATTATTGTAGTACGATGGATAACGCGATTCGGCGCTTTCTCCATTGTTTTGAAAACCGCCGATATGATTAAAGGAGCGTAATGGTTTATTATTTGCCGGGAATTGGTCATAGTGAAAAGCCAGCGTTTGTTTTTTTGGACTTGCATCCTTTTTTCCACTATCATTCTTGTCCTGAGCGCTTGCGTTAACTTCATTTTTTTTAAGGCTTTTGGAATGTGTACTATTTTGAACGTGCGATGACCATTTTGATTCAATCTATCGAAATGAAATGAAATAAATATTAAAAAGTTTGAATATACGGATATAATTTTTTGCAATTTAGGGAAATATAAGAAATTCTTTACCAAATTAACTTTTTGAATGCGATTTTCTTTAAACTCGTCGTTGTTGACATCATCACCTTCAGCAGAACCTTCTTGTTTATCATTATTCTTTTCCGACAATAAACTTTCTCGATCGTGGTCATCATCGAAACCGCACAGTTCAATTGTATCCAAACGTGACGTTGGTCCACAACTGAACCATTCGGGTTCTTCAGCCTGATCCTTAGATTGTTGCTCATGTCTTTGTTCTGCTTCTCGATCTTTCAAGCTAGATACAAATAAAAATCCGGACATAACTGGTTTCACATAGTTTTTGGTGACAATATCATGTCTATCCTTAAAAGACGATTTCTCTTCGCTCTCATTTCCATCCGTTGATACTGGAAAATATGGGAAAAAGATTACAGTTTTAGGATACACAACTGACTTTAAAAAGATCGATTAACAATAAATGTACCCAAATCGCTATTTCGTATCTCTGCTGAATTGTGGTTATTATAATGTTGAGATGCCATATAGATATCAGACCACTTATTAGGTTGTAGACGTCCGCTACCAATGCGACGTTGGTTGCTTATAATAGCAGGATCCTTAAACATGAAGCAGTATAAAAGACATTTATCTGCTTTAAATAAATATAGAGAAACTAAATTTTGCGATATCTACCTTAAACTCAAATGGCTGTGGAGGTTGACTTCTAATTATCGACTCATCCATAACCTTGCGTTTAAAGAACGCTGGCATCATGTCATTCCAACCCGATTTTCCATTGTTATTATTCATATCAACAATACTTGCGCAGCCGTTTCCACCGCTGTTTCTAAAGTCTGTCATGTAATCGGAACTTCTCCATATCTTAAGACGTTTCAGGCGTGCTTCCAATTCAATCACGCAACAATCGATAATTATAGGCGAATGATTACCCCGTTTAACTTTGGCAGTGGTTATGTATTTGCCTATAAGCAATAGACTACCGCGAGAGTATTGTAATAACGAAGCGTTCATCAAGGATTTGCATTTATCCAAATGCTTCCCATTATTATCTGTGGACGATGTGCTCGCCAACGTGACAGGCGATGGCAAACATGGAACTGATTTGTAAGTGGTCAGCGTATGTGTTTTGCCTTTCGAATTATATCGAGTTTCCTTGAAAGGTTGTTGCGTATTTTCTGCGAGGTTCTCCTTGACAGGGCTCACATGTTCAACAGATTTCTCCAAATCACAGCTAACCAAGGTATTATTTAAGAGTTGTCCACAAGGCGTTGACGAACGAGCCGATAGAGTTTGCAACGACAAGTCATCTTCTTCATTATGGTGCGGCCCTTTGGCTGGAAGGTATGTCATATGAGTAGGCGGTGGTAGAGGTATAGCTACAGATATAGCTGCCGGCTTTTCCATCATCTGCTTTTCGATCAATTTTTGTATTTTAAGTGCACGTACCGGAACTACGAAAATTTCCTCAAATTTCGATTTTTTCGGAAGCTCCATTAATGCCATTTCGTTGTTAGGCTTATTATCTAAGGATTTAACCTAAAATATCAATTGATTTCACTATGTCTTTAAATATTGTCAATTTCAAGATAGGAGCCCAAAGATTATATTGCAAAAATAGTTAATTTTTACGACTTTTTCACGGTTTTTTCGAAAAACATTTGGCAGGCAGCAAAAAAATAAAACCTGATATATAATTAGTATAAGAAAAAACTGTAGCTGAAGATAGTAATTACAAGAAAAACTTTGTAGACAAATCAAAGATTTACGATAGGTACGACGAGATATACTTGTGATCAAAGGAGTTGATACTAACCTGACTTTTCGATACGTTTTCCTCTTTCGTGGTTACTTTTATATCGTGTTGTAAGCTGTTAAGAGGCCTTCCAGAAACCACTGTTTCCAAATTAATCTCCAAATGCATAGTTGTTTGATGCAGTTCTGTTGATTCTTCGCAATCCACGGTAAATTGACTGACCACCTCTTGGGCGATATCGTTCGTCGCTACAAAGGATTGAGACTTTTTCTTTTCCTCAGGTGTTGGCGGCGGCGGAGGTGGCGGCGTCATCCTAGCATCTTTATCTTTAGTTAAATTCATACAAAGAGGCAATCTAGAACTATCTTCGAACGTCTCTGCTTTTTCAGGCTTATCTAATTTCTGTATATTATCGCCATCGTAACTGGCCATCGCGCCTACGCCATTTTCTTGACTTGACAAAATGCGAGCTGCTGTTTCTGTTTCGGTAGTCCCATTAGTTTTTACCACAAACGACATTTTAAACTTTTAGTGTAAACTTTTTTTTTTTGTTTTTATCAATTTTTTTTGAATTTACAATTCTCAAATTTTACACAGCAAATTTTTAAAAACGCTAAAACATAATAACTTAAGGATAATTTCACATGAATATGACTTTTTTTATCAAAAGGAATTTTTTCTCTTGTGTTTGGAAAATAACAATTTTTGTGTAGTCTTTTCGAGCAGATTAAAACTTACAAAATGGAGATCGCGAAAATAAAATTTTGCGCCGATATAGAAAAGTAAATTGCCGTTAAGTAACGCTTTTTGTTTTTGTTGCTTTTCATTAGTGATGTAAAACTACAAATACGTTATAGCGTTTTTTGTATTAAATTTTTACGTTCTTTCAAGTGCTTCGTATGCCATGACAAAGCACTTCATAAGAAAGCGTTTACATAAGAAACAATTCATAATAGAGATATGGAAATACATTGAAATGATGACGCATTTGCTTTGCATTGAAAAATTAGGTTTGTAGATTGGGTAGTTTATACTCTTTTTGCTAATTCTTGGTACCTTAGGGGCCAAACTTTAAATCGATATTTATTATAAAGTTACATGTTTAAAAAATGTGTAAAAAATTTATTCTGTCATTCAATGATTGCTTGATTTTGTTATCATATAAAAGCGAAATTTAAACTTTTTTAGGAACCCGTAAAAACTCCTTGACGTTTCTTTTTTCGTCTACTGCTTTGTGTATAAGGATCTAAAAAACAAAGTTGCTTACAACGAAGTTTATGTCTTAACTGGCACAATACATTTGCGCGTCTCTTGAACCAGGTGCTTAGTAGATTTACATTTGTTACATAGTTCACGTTCGACGACCGAAGGATTTTGCGCGCGCTCACTGTAATTTTATATATCATCTAAGTAGTTTGGCGTAATGTTAACAATACGCCCAAATACATGTATAGATTCATAAACGCATAATTAGGTATAGCGAATTCGATTGAAAAACAGATGAAATTGTTTACAAATCAATGGCTTTATTGTATATCGTATAACAAACGCAACAACATACTATTGTATTGTTACTGCTGATGAAGCTGCTGCTTCTGGTAATGCCATAAAAGGTATTTTCTTATTCGCAGTCACACAGACCATTCGAAAACTCTTCCGTTAGATCCGTTCCTTTTCACCGAATCTACTGCATGCTACCAATCCAAATCAATTGCTCCATTAAACAAAAAAATACCATTTCGATTCTGTTCTAATTTTAATGCGTATAGCAAATACAATCCTTGCGGTTTGCAATTTTCGACTTTGTTCTGTTCAATTTTTCCAGTTTAGCAAGACACAAACCAACTACATAAATTGGATAAAGCAGTCACAATAAATAGTTAATAATGAATAACCCCTAAAACAAAAGTAATAGATAACCTCTCCAGCAGATTTGCCTCGCGCAAGTTTACTCTCGTGAAAATTTACATTCGAGGAATTTGTAGAGACAACTAAATGACAAGAAGGTCGAATATTTTGATCGAAATTCAAACAAGGAGATTAAGACGGACTTTTTGTGTGTCTATTATCGATAACAATAACCAAATAGTAGATATGCAGTCTGTAGCAAATATTATTTGGTTTCCTTTTCATTGTTTATTTCAGATTGAAAAAATTCTACATTTTACGTTTACTTCATAAGAGCGGTTAGATTAAATCTGGTTGACTTAAACTAATGACAGCACTAAAAATTTTCGAGATTCCTTTAAAAGACAAAAGAGGACTCTGTATTTACTAGTTAACCAACTCTCATTTGGACGGCGTACCTTGAAAGCTATTTGGTTCTAGGTTATGTAGGACTTTTGTCACTTGAAATTTATTTCAAATAAACGAAAATTTGACTTTTGCTAATTTACAATGGCAAAATCAGTAACAAGCCCATGCAAACTTAAATACGAAGTCAAATTAAATAACAAAAAAAAAAAACGCAAAATTGCAATCAATAAGTTGCTTTCGAAACCGGCCAGAGTACTTGCACATATTAAGCGGCATGGAATTACGAGAATTTCCAATGTGTAGTTAGTGATAAAGTGTAGGCAATTCTGATTATATGTTATAATGTTTTCGAACATTTTGTCAGTCAGTCACACAGAACACACACAAGGTAAAAACAAATGTTCTTCTACTACCAACTAACAAGATATGAGCAAAGGCATCGTTCCGTGTAATAATTACTTTATTACCACTATTTAGTAACAACATATCACCTGTCTTTTTGTCGTTTTGTTTGTTAAAATGATTTAAATTAATTGACGGTAAGACCAATACGTTTAGTCGAGTGTTTTTGTTATTTGACGATTCTTTGCTTTTTTTCAACCACAGCAACAATATACGATGACTAAGGGAAAGATTAATGATATACAATTGGTTACAAGCCTCAACGAATGAAAACTATTAATTGGAGAATTGAAGTGAAAAGCAAGGAAAGAAGCATTACTTTACTTACCTTTCACACATTTAAATATTTTATTTTCGTTCAGCTGTTGGGATATTATTTTCTTTTTACAGCTATTTTCTTTTATAAACGCAACTATAAACAACCAATGCTAACATCTCTTCTACATGCATATCGCAAAAACTATCGAAACTCGAAAATGTCATCTAGTTAACGCCGTACATAATCAGTTTCGAGGTTTGGTATCTTTGTGTACTTTAATTAATTGCAATATGGCAACCCTGTAAATTATTATCCCTGTTCGGCATAACAAAGCAGAACGAGTCAGTCACGCTGAAAAATATATTAGAGAGAAGAAAAAAACTTTGAAATTTTTACGCCAATATATAATTCACAAACGGAATGTAAGTAGAAACATTAATTTGTCAAAGCATCTTTTTTCCTCAAGTTTTCTACTTGAATATATTTTAGAAACAATATCCTTGGCCGCATAATAAACAGATACATACATAAGTGCGTACACACATTATATATATATATATATATATATGCATATGTATATATATATGTACATAACTATCAAAAAATGGCCGAAGATTTCGACGTAGAAGCTATGCTAGAGGCTCCATATGTCAAGGGCGTAAGTATAAACTCCTTGCAGTTGGTAAATTTGTTTAAAAAAAAGCCATCAAAAGTTAAATTGGTGGAATTTAAACTCCGATACACATTTTTTATGGTTAGCAGTTAATTACAGTTGTGGAGGAAACTGGTATTATGAATATTGATTCTTCTAAATGAGTTTATTTAAATTATGCCATATTTTGAGTATTGTCTAAAAATTATCAATATCCTTTATATCTATTCTATACATATATTAGAGTATACAATTCTATCGAAATAGTATTAACTACCTGTCGAACAGTCGATTGAAAAAAATTATTAACTTTATGGTTTCGCCGGCACAAATTCTATTAAATGTTCATAAAAATATCTAAAGTGAAAGTAGTCTCTCGGTTGGACGATCTATAACGTGACGGGCCGAAATCTGTCTGATATAGATAGTTATAGTCGGAACCATGATCAAGATTTGATATTTTATTATTTTACTTATTTGTTATAACATTCTTATTAAAATCATGCTGGCTTTTAATGCTTTTTATTAGACGATAGTATCATTTTCACGGCCAGAAGATTGAAATGCTGCATAAACGGTGGTTGGGAGTTCAAATGACATGCACAATTCTTCAGCGTATCCTTTTTGTAAATTTTGGGTCGATTGAGTTTTTCCTGTGCTACATAGAGGATTCTTTTTGGACTGTGAATCTATCAGACTCATCGGAAGTCTCAGTGGAAAAAAAAAAAAACTTTGACATTATGAGTAGATGCAGATTTACAAAAATTTCATTTTAAAAAAAGTGGATATCAAATAGGTCTCAAAGATTCATCGCAGTCCGATTGGGGTTAAAATAAAATCGGTAAATTTCAGCTTTAACTCCTACTTCAGCTTACAACGGATATTCATTATAATGCCAATATGAAAGCAATTAAAAATGTGTTAACGGAGGAAAGGTGGTTTCAAATGTAACCTAAATGAATAATATTTGGGATTCGGTTTAATCTGAATATCTTTTACGTACAAAAGTTTAAAAAAAAAAGAAAAAAATCAAAAGTTGATCGAAGAATTTGTACTTTACTAAAAGATGTGTTAATCATTTCCTTTCGCTCTACGCCTTGGTTGACGGAGTAATTCATCTAATATGGGCCCCATTGGTCACATTTTTTCAAGTTTTATTACTTGGATTAAAATTTTCTATTCATTAAAAGTGGAAATTATCGGAGTTTACGTATACAATGTTTTTAAAACCAAAATATTTTTGTTATAATTTCCGCAACCATATCCATTTTCTGCTTTTAGGATTAGATAATTATTATCAAAACAGTTTACATATTTTTGCAACTTATTAGAAGAACTGGCATAAGGTCGATTGGTATTTGAGTCCCTAGTGGAACGAGCAAATGCAATTCTTTCAAAATTTTTGCTTGCGCTTTACTAGAAAATAGTTCGGGAACTTAGGTTGGAACAACAGTTTTGGCATTGTCACGAATTTATCTGAAGAAAAGTACATCGAAACGGTACCAGGAAAATCACAATCTGTTTAGTTGCAGCAATTGTTACCGGGCCATTTATCTACTAAATTTCAAGGTCGTAAAAATTATCCACTGGCCTTATCTGTCCCCAATAACGAGTTAGAATTTGACAAATAAATTTGTTAATATTATAGTACATATATAAGTTGTTCGTTTTTTTTTTTTCCTTCGAAATAACGTATTTTTTATAGTGGATAAAAATGTTATTATGAACGGTCGAATTCGATAAGTCTACTCGCTCATCGATCTTACGGATCGTTATTCGCCGGTTTTCATCACTTAATCTTTAACCTTGTCTTTAATCTTCAATAGCAATATTGCCGGAACGAACTTTGTAAACCAGTTTTGCCATTAGTTCTCTGTTAATACTTCTTCATACGCATCCAATAATTTTTTTTTGCTTGAATACTATTTTTACTTTATCGAAAGTAAAATGCCAAAATATGTGGTATTTTGCTCCCATTTTTTCCAAACGCAATCCCTGCAGTATTAGCTTTTAAAATATGTAATAAAAAGCAAACAAGTCCACTGTTGGAAAAAAAAATGAAATGACCTCCCGAACAACCTCGTACATACTTGGACCATCTTAATCAGATGAGTGGACTTGAACCGTCTTTTAAATTCATTCGATAACGACATATGTTAATACAGTTTCCTTTTCCATAAAAGAAAAAAAAATGAATGAAAACGTTTCTTTCGAGGAACTTTGAACAGAATTTGGTACACTTGCATAGTTAAACTTAAGTGCTTTACCATATGTATTTATAGCCTGGGCAAAACGATTTATCCGCAAATTTGCGCAGATAGGGCGAAAAATACCTATTAAAAAAGTTTCATACTTTCACGTACTGACGTGATTACCTATGTGGTTACAAATGAAAATGCTGGTTGTATTAAAATCTCAATGCTTCGAAAAGAGCAGACGATCGCTTGACAGGCCGTCATCATGTGATTTTTCTTGTTATATTCTTCTTATTTGTATCAACGCTTTAATTGTTATTTCGAATTAAATATTTATTTCATTCTCGTACACATTCGCTTTCGGCCATTTTCTGTTAACAAATTAAATTATTCTCTGTTAAATTGACCATTCGCTGTTAACAAATGTAAGTTATTTTCTATTAAAACGGCCAATCTATTAAAAAATCTTTAAAAGATCTCCTAAAGTAAAGAAATTAACAAAAAGAGGAAGAAGAAAAACAGCAAAGAAGTAAAATAAGCGCAGCCTCAATTAAGTTTTTGTTCAGTTATGCTAGAGAACTTGAGATTTAAGCACATTTAACGTTTGTGTTGCTTTTATTTGCCTGTTGTACAGAGAAGATATAAAAAAATGCGTGCATGGAGCGCATACATATGCTATGTCGCCAGTTTTCTTTTTTATATAAGAAAAGTATCTGTCAAGCAAATAAGAAAAAAAAAAACTCAATAGTACGAAAATAAAGCAAAATAATATTCAAGGGTGAAATGTCTTTGCAGAAAACCTAATAAAAGCTCAATTTGTTGCTAGAGATTGATTGTTTTGGTCATTCTAAACACGTAGAAAGCCGGAGACCAGTTGGTAAGTTTTGAATGCGCCAGAAAATCGCCAAAAAATATAAAAATAAACAAAAAAAAAAGAACAAGCAATTTATATATAAATACTTTGCATAAAAGCATTTCTATATAAGTCGTGAAAAATAAAAAAGAATATAAAATTTTTTTGTTATGTGATACTTGACATATTCTAAGAGCACACTGAACCTGAATTAAATTTCAGATTTTCGTACAATTTTGCGTGCGGACAGCACTTGTTTTATGCAGGATATAAAGGCAAAACCATTCACATTAGCTACCACTACTTCTACCACCCTCAATGCCTAACCTACCTAAACGCGACAAAGTATTTGAAAAGTATTTGAGTCAGTAAGAGTGTACTTCGCCGCCATACGAGCGGACAGGCGCAAAGTATTCAAAGAGTGTTGAGAAAAAAAAAAATAGTAAATAAATCCATAAACAAAACTTACAAAACAACTCAACAAAACCACAATTTCAGTAAACGAAATAAAAAATTGATTGTGATTGTGTGCTGTCACACTTGGTGTGGACATCGCGCACTTTCAAAGTTGTACTTAAGAATTGACGATATTATCTTTTCAAAGAAATAACTAATTTCGTTTGATGTTTGCTTTCTCTTGTTTAATCAACTCTTATCACTATCCCAACTACATCAATCGAATCAAATCAAACTCAAACTATGCATACAACGTGACGATGACGTTATTATTTGTACGTGAATTCCTTGTTGTTATACCTTGTTGCGCCTTCCCCTAATAGAATTCTACCATTGGCAGTGACAGAGGTGATGAAAAGGACTCTGGGAAGAGGCACAATCAAAGAGATCACACCAAATACGATGATACCGAATGTGCTAGTTATTCGTTAGAGCACAACGGACAAAAATACAGATCTAGGTACGTATAATGTATCTTCAAAGTAATCGTCTCTTAACCGTTAAAAATTATTTTAAAGAAGCCCATCTGATTCGCGAATTAATGAGGGTAGACATTACCGAAGATCATCTGAACGAGAGACAGTTAAAGAAGCAGAGCGTTTCCGTTCACGAGATAAAGACCGAGATCGCGATCGAGAACGAGATAACAAAAAGACTTATGGGGATCGTGAACGTGATAGAGAAAAACAAAGAGAACGGAGTCGCTCGAAGGATCGACGTTACAGGAGCCGATCGCGGGAATACCGTCGCAGTCGCTCACGCGATAAGCCGACCTCGAGAGCGCGGTCAGAAAGACGTGCTAGTCGCTCGCGGGATGTTCGTCGCAGTCGATCGAGAAATCATCGTTCCAAAGAGCGTGTTAGTCCATCGAGAGAACATAGACGCAGTCGTTCAGGCAGACGATCACCGCCTAGGAACAAAAGGTAAACAAATGAAGTTGAAATTTGTTTTCGAAAATGAAACTTTTATTTTCTAGCCGCCGTCGTAGTGGCTCGCCACGTCCTTATCGACATGGACGTACACCTCCTAACGGTCTGGGTCCGGACAGATCGCCACTTTCAGAACTAAGTCCTGAAGAACGTGATGCTCGCACAGTGTTTTGTATGCAATTATCACAACGTGTTCGCGCACGAGACTTGGAAGAGTTTTTTTCAAGTGTCGGAAAAGTGCGTGACGTACGTTTGATAACATGTAATAAGACGAAACGTTTTAAAGGCATTGCCTACATTGAGTTCAAGGAACCAGAATCCGTGGCCTTAGCTCTGGGCTTATCCGGGCAAAGGTTATTAGGTATACCAATATCAGTGCAACACACTCAAGCTGAAAAGAATCGCATTGCTAATGCCGTGCCCGTTTTCACTCCTAAAAATCATACTGGACCAATGCGTCTATATGTAGGTTCATTACATTTCAACATAACCGAAGAAATGTTGCGCGGCATATTCGAACCGTTTGGCAAAATAGACTCTATTCAGCTTATTATGGATAGTGAAACGGGGCGCTCAAAAGGATATGGTTTTATAACGGTATAGAATTATATAGAAGAGCGTTTGGTGCGGTTTTGATTTATAATTTTTGTTTTTAGTATCACAATGCGGAAGATGCGAAGAAAGCTTTAGAGCAGTTAAATGGGTTTGAGTTAGCCGGACGACCGATGAAAGTGGGCAACGTAACTGAACGTTTGGATATGAACACAACATCTTTAGATACGGATGAAATGGATCGTAGCGGTATTGATTTGGGAGCAACTGGACGTTTACAACTTATGTTCAAATTGGCAGAGGGTGCAGGGTTAGCCGTACCGCAAGCAGCTGCAAATGCCTTACTTGCTACAGCACCTCAACCGGCACCAATACAGACGCAAACGCAAACTCCGCCCATTGCTACACAGTGTTTTATGTTATCGAATATGTTTGATCCACGCACCGAAACCAACCCCAACTGGGACTCGGAAATACGTGACGACGTTATAGATGAATGTTCTAAACATGGCGGCATATTGCATATATATGTTGACAAGGTTTCTCCTACTGGTAATGTATACGTTAAGTGCCCGAGCATAACAACTGCTGTCTTGGCTGTGAACGCCCTACACGGTCGATGGTTTGCTGGACGTGTCATTGCTGCCGTCTATGTGCCACTGCTGAACTACCACTCCATGTTTCCGGATGCTATTACCGCTGTTAATTTACTGGCATCAAATAGAAAATCTACAGAGTAAAATTTTAAGTTTCTACAACACATATAGGAATAACATATTTTCTTTTTGTCCTTCTTGGCTATCATCTATGACGTGCGCACGCATTCCCGTTCTCTTTATAAACTAAGAATAAATAAATTTAAAAAAAGTTGAAGGAACAATTTTTTATGTTGCCACTTCATTATTTGACACTTCATTTATTAATAAATTTATTTGAATTGTTTTTAGTTATTCTATCTTAAGCGACAACACGAGAGTGTACGGCCCCGATAAAGTATGCAAAATCTACTATTTTGGAAACGATTCCAAGATCCCAAATTATCAATATATAGTAAAAATATATTAGCGCCCTTACAATGTTTTCTAGCCAAGGAAGTTGTGGATACCATGTAAAGAGGTACGCATTTGGCCGGTAGTGAGTGTGCTTACCTATAGAAATTACAGAACTGAAACCATAAAGAACTTAATCCCTAGGTTAAAACCAAAGCGTCAAAGTGCATAATGTATTAAGACATGGCCTTTCACCTGTTAAAGGTTAATTATACTTTACCCAGAAGAAGTTTTTTTTTTTTCAAACGTTCGTGTGCTTTGCAAAATATTTAAATATTTTGAATACACGGAATGAAATTCCGAATGCTAACGGTGTACATTTTATAATACTTTTTCGAATAGTTTTTTATATTTTATGTAAGCTTGTCGTCTTGACAATTTTTTCCTAGGGATGCAAACATACCGCGACTTGATTAACACTAATGGCAATCCTACAAGAATTAAAATTGTCTTTTAATCAAAACGATGAAAACACCTGATTTTTGATAATTTTGAGTTAACACTATTTTCAATTTCCAAAATTGAGTATCCTTTTCGTTAATCACAATGAGAATAATAAGCAAAGTGGTTCATTCCTTGCGAAAATTTAAAAGTATGCGTTCGAATCCATTTGCTTGCAGAGGAGCACAAACGCAACTACACGGCGTCTTAACGGGTGCCGGTATCGGCATTTTTATATCAGTTACACTTGCTCAAATGTCTGCAAAGGACAAACGACGCAAGCTGAATACTTCCTTATATATGGCTCCACCAATTACTGATGCTGACCACTTACTAACGGCAGAAAATGATATGAAAACCAAAATGGAATTGTTAATTATGAAAATACAGGCAGATTTCTGTCATGCTCTCGAAGCCGAAGAATATGGTGGTCAGAAATTTAAAGTTGACAGATGGCTCCGCACAGAGGGTGGCGGTGGTATTACTTGCGTTCTACAGGATGGAGAGGTGTTTGAAAAAGCGGGTGTGAACATATCTGTAGTTACAGGACATTTACCGCCGAGCGCGGTACAACAAATGCGTACACGCGGCAAAAAATTAAGTGAAGGAGAGCGGCCTTTTTTCGCAGCCGGTGTGAGTGCAGTAATTCATCCACGTAATCCTATGGTGCCTACCATACATTTCAATTATCGGTACTTTGAAGTGACAAATAATGACGGCTCTAAGCAGTGGTGGTTTGGTGGTGGTACAGATCTCACCCCCTATTATTTGAACGAAGAGGATGCTATTCACTTTCACAAAACTTTAAAGAACGCTTGCGATGAATACGACATTCTGTATTATCCTAAATTCAAAAAATGGTGCGATGATTATTTTAGAATTGAGCATAGAAATGAATGTCGTGGACTTGGTGGCATATTCTTTGACGATTTAGATTCGCCCAGCCAAGAAAACGCTTACAAATTTGTTTCCGCTTGCGCCTGTGCTGTGATCCCTTCTTATTTGCCGCTGGTTAGACGCCATAAAAATGACGAGTATGGAGATAGAGAACGCCAGTGGCAATTATTGCGTCGCGGTCGCTATGTTGAATTCAATTTGATCTATGATCGCGGCACCAAATTCGGTCTTTATACACCCGGCGCTAGGTACGAAAGTATTTTAATGTCTTTGCCGCTTACTGCCCGTTGGGAATACATGCATACGCCCCCGGAAAATTCCAAGGAAAATAAACTTATTGAAGTTTTGCAAAACCCCAAAGATTGGGTACCATTCGATCCTGTTCGTGTCAGTTAAAATATAAAAAAATTTCATAAATGTTAAAAATTTTCCTTAGATTGATATGCGTTCAGAAAAAGTAGACTTCCATGCTCTTCATAGCTGCATGTTTCTTACGAAATTAAACGTCAAGTTAGAAAAATATCATTGCTTTTCATATGTAAATATACTGTTTTATAAACCCAAGTAGTTTTTGTTTTTGCTGCATAATAAGCAGATCAGTGTATGTACAGTCCGAAAGAGGAATCTCGACGTTTGTGCATATATTGGCCGCAGATGCCTCATATATTAAATGAATGCTTGATTTTATGCGGCTGCCAGAAGTAATTTGTAAAATTGAACATAGTTTCCTTTGGACAGTAGCTGTAGATTTGCAATAAACAACGATTAACTTATTGAGGTCTGGGAGGAGTTGACATTTAGAGATATGTAATGAAAGTTTGTTATCAATGACGTCGATGACAACTACGTTATCCGCAGCGCTATCAGTGGAAAGATTGTTATCGAAGCTGGGACAAATGACCAGTTCAAAGAATGGACTGCTCCGGAAGACTGTGATATTTCCTATACAACTGAGTTGGGGAGGAGTAAACGTAAGAAAAGCAAATGACTCGATTAACTTGTGCTCACGAGTGATCAAATCCGTGGGGCATTGATTTGCAAACATAGCACTGCTTCGTACCAGAATAATGCTATGTCACGGGCAACCTCTTCACAAAATTTATTGGGAAGAATGGCAGGAATGCTTTGTGCTCTCATAGGTTAATCTCATTTTTACAAATTTAGAACATCTGACTATTTACCCACGGAACGGAAAATGTAATAAAACCTTTATTTTCCTAAGTGTTTAAAAAGAGCTTTACATGAGCGCCAGTCATGTAAATACGGCGCACACAGATTTTCCGGATCATTTAGAATGCACAAACTGCACCCATTTTGCTAAGAGTATGTCAGCATAAGCTGTCCGAGTGTGAATGCACAAAATTTGGGAGCAATAGGTTCTATAACTACAGCGTCGATGCTGTCATCGGCAGAATTCGGCTCGCATCACTCTCGTTTCCAAGCACGATCTGGGATCGTCTATTAGAAACATAGGATAAAGTTCATCTTCCTATCTTTAATTATTTATTTATGAAAGTTTTGGAATTGATCCGAATTCTACTACACTGCATTTTTATGAAACTTGTAATGCATTATGCGGATGTTGTAAACAAACTACAAACCTATTAAGCACCGGTCATAATAAGAAGGCAAAGAATTGCTCGTAAGCAATAGGCTCCTTTACTGTGCAGATTCTGCCACCACTCGATGTTCATATTAATATTGCGAAAGAAAGTTTGTAAATTTTGTAGACTTTTTTTCAAAATGAAAATGCGCAGCTTGACAAGGTTATTTACTACTTCCTTGCTTTCAATAGAAATTTTAATGTGGGGTGCAACCACAAATCGCTTCTCTAAATTAAAAAATTTCAACTTTCAGAATTAGTTGTAAGTCGGTGTACGTGAAAAAAAGGATATTAGTTTTATATATACATATATGCATATATATATATATATATATATATATATATATATATATAAATTAGGGCATATGAAAAGTCTTCGCGGTTTTTCTCGCGGGATGGTGTTAATGCCTATTTATCGGGCAACACTCACTTCATCGTAAAGGAACATGGGCTTAAAAGGTAACATTTCAACTTATATTGATATTGTTTGTGAAGACAGTTTTCTGATTCTTTGCTCGTGTAAAATGTTATGTTGGTTTGAAAATGGGTGAAACGTTGTATGTGATGACTTTTTACTATGAAAAAGATAAAACATGCAAAAGTATGCCGAAAAATTTGTGAAGTGTACGGTGAGGATGCTGTAAGTGAACGAAGGAACCAGGGTAAGTTTGCTTGATTCGATGCCAAAGATGCGTCTCGCTTGTGGCCGAAAAAGTCGATGAAATCTTGCAGCTAGGGAAGCAAGATCGACACGTACGCTATTAGGAGAGAGGGAGTTACACCAATCATCAGTCTACAAAAAGCATCTCAAAACCGCAGAAAAAACCTCAAAGACTTTGCGTGATCCATTACATACGAAGGATGGTTTTTCTGCGAGATACTACTGTATTCGATTCTTGAAACATAAACGGAAAACATAAATGTCTGTAAGCCTATGGAATTTAGAAGCGTTTTGGGAAACTAGACATGCCGAACTCTTATTATCTTGGAAGTGTTTGTAAACAATATCAGATATTAAGTAAAATTGGAGTTTATATGAACTGGAAATTGACTAAAGTTACATTTGAAATCTTGTTACGCTGATTGTTAATTTGGAAATTATAGTCTACCAGAATGTTAACTGTAATATTTGGTAAGGTTTCTTTTCTTTAAGTTGCGATGCTAATCATATATTGTATAATTATGGTATATGAAGTGTTTTAAATATTATTTTCAAGTACATTGTAATTTTCAATTGAACTGAAATTTTTTAATTTCAACTCGTGGCAACGAAGCTTGCCAAATTTTTAGGTACTTGACGCCGAGATAAAACAGTCAACCATTAATTCAATCTTGGGATAGCACAAAAATGAGGAGTATGCTGAATAAAGATTTTTGAATAGAAAGTTACGCTACGAAGAATATGTGTCATCTACAAAACGCACAAAGGCATGAGTCATTAAAAAAGCGTTTAGACGTAACAGAGATCGGAAGGTACAATTTATTGATAATTATCACTCTCAATTATTAAAACCTCCTTATTTTCTTTTCCACTACGCTTGAATGGTCTAGATAAAGGGATCTTAGAGTGGCCGTATAGTCATCATTTTCTGCAATACGTTTCCTTATCATGAACTCGCAAGAAATAAATCTATTACAAACAAACTTTGCAATACAACACAATGGGTACGCATTCATAAAGAGTGTCGGACTGAAGCAGTTGAACAATATATATTCTTATGTTTAGAAGCATATTTACACCCCTTGAAAAGAAAGTGGGCACATAACTATTGAAATAGCCGTAGGTAATTTCTCCTGTCAACTAAGAGTAAGAAGTCAATTATGTCAAAATATTTTCGCTAGGAAATAGATCTTTTCCTCAATTTTGATTTTGTTGAAATTATCAAATTTTATTCGATTTCTTAAGAAATCAGCGGACAGATCTGCTTGAATTGTAAAGAAAAGAAAGAATCTTAATTATTATTAAAAAGTTTTCAATTATATTACATTAGGGAGAAAGCATTATGAATGCAAGTTTTTGAAAATCAGTTTTACGTTTCAAAAGGATATATATATATGATACTACCTTTGATCGTTTGTAAATTAAATCAAGTGTGGTTATGCTTCGTTCACACATGTGATTTATTCATTTCTTTTTTTAAGAAATTTCTTAGCGATTAATTTGTGGAAGCTTTGATTTACTATATCACTAAATAAATACTAAGTTTTTCTTACCCCACGAAAAATTTCGTTATCAATACACGGGTAGAGGACAGACATCAATCACTCTCTTAAATCTTATACACTCAATCACATCATGAAATCTTTTTAGATGTTACCTCTTCTTTGGCTGTTTTCAATTTCAGGTGAAATAAAATATAACTAGAAATGAAATTTGATTTTGTCAGGTGTTTTAAAAAACCTTACCGTATACCCACCTCTTTCTTTATCGAAAACGGTTACAAAAAGGAATTGAAGTTCAATATAAAAATGAAACCTTCATATTATTAATAGTTACCGATGGTTAGATTAATTTGCTTTTCGTTTTATCCAAATGGATGCCTGCATACCTATTTATCAGTTAGAATGCCCAGAAGTTTATTGTTTATAGGTTGTTTGGTTAGCAAATTAACATAAGTTTTAATTACCATATACTACCTCTCAGCATACCTACACACAAACCAATCTTTATCATTCAATTCGTTTGCTTGTATTGGCCGGTTATAAAGTCTACAGCATCAATCTATAAATTTGCTAAGGCTGTGAGGTTACAATTTATGCACACTTACATAAGCAAAGTGGTTTAGAGGGCAGACTTATAGCGCTCTTCCCAGTAAGGACAATATACGAAATGTCGATGACAGTACTGGAAGAAGTCACTGGCATTAGATGGCAAATGATCATAGCCTATGATCGCCTAGAATGGGAAATGGCGTTAATGAATCTTAGTACAACAAAAAATTTACCTTGAACTCAGCTACCACCAGCGGTGTTATAATTTCCGCCTGGTGCTGAATCTCAGTGAAAACATTGTACAGGAATTTCTACAATCTGACAAATACCAATTCAAAGACGGCAAAATAAAAAAAAATTGTAGAAATTCCCTCCATAGCAATGTGGTACACTTGATGTACTTGATGCATGGTTATAGAATATTTTGCCTTTAGAGTTTATTATATGTGTTTAGATTCAATCTTAACGCGTTTTAATTTCCCATAGCATTACTCTTTTGTTTTTTTTTGTCTACTGTATAACAACAATACTTTTGATAAATTCTTTCAATTCAACTGCAAAAGAGAAAGAAAACAAAAGGTAAACGGTTACTAAAGTATTTTTCAATATTAAAAGAGCTTCAAAGCTCAATAAAAATGTTTAAAACAAACAAAAGAAGAGAGAAAAGGACATCCCACGAACCACCATGGGATTTTATATTGCTAAAAAAGTATACCACAAGAATATGAACGATGATTATTTCTTCTTACGGCGCTTCACTGTGCCGCGATCGCAGTTATATTTAAGAGCACCAGTGAAGTTTATCAGTACCCCCTTACCTGAGAGGGAAACAAATACACGTACAAACACATACCATTTGTTTTAAGACTTTACTTACTGTATGAGTTCACATCGAGTGGATCATTCTTAATTTAGGAAAGGAAAATATTCATTAAATCTTATAATTATCATTATCATTGTCAGTATTCACTGCGTCTTAAAATGAGAAATGCTATATAAACATTTACAGAAGCAATAAAATCTCTTAAAAAGAATAAATACACTCAAAATTTAAATGTAAATACGAAAAGTTTCCGAAGTCAAGAAACTTTGAACGGATTTTCAAACAACCAACATTAAACTATTTTATATACCACAGTGGCCAAATTTTTCGCATCAACTACTGACAAGTTAATAAACCAACTTTATTATGTGAATCTTGGAAGATTCTATGTCGAAATGTTTAATTTCCTACTTCTACTTTTTTTTCTATGCTGGTTATACTTATGGTCTTCTTGAATTTAAATTTACAGACACAACATATGATGTGGAATATCATTTTGATCATCGATATAAATTTTGTTACGCGAGTTTTTCAAATGAAATGACAAGACCAATGCAGATAAAAACATGTCATAAAGGTTTCTTAACTTTTAAAAATTCCCGAACAAGAGATTTCATTGCCAAATCTTTTTGTGTTTGCTTTCTTCTAATTGCTGTTATTATTGGATAAATAGATTAGATAAAATTTGATATATTGGAAAATGAAATTATAGGCCAATGATTAGTTCTCATACCAAAATTCCTCATAAAACTACAAATAAACTATAATATTCGAGCAGACAAAACTAGAAAACTTGCTAAACAAAGTAAATCTTTTTTTCATAGCTATTATTTTTGTGATAAGCGCACGTTATTTACCAAAAATATATGCATTAGTTGTATTTGCTCTGTTCTCTCCTGATTTCTATTTTTAACCTAATTGTAAATAATAATAATAATAAAAAAATGTAATGTTAGTAAAAGCCATTTTTTTTGGAGAAATTTGAATTTTGAAATCCCATTGTGTTTTTGTTCATCATCATCGTTATGTTTGTTTTTATCCTGGCTACAATTCAAAATTCACTCCCACTTTCGCAGAAATGGCTTTATATTTTATAGATAGATACGTTATGTATAGGTAGAGGAAAAGTGAATTTCAGTATAAACACCCCTCAAAGTATGATTTCTAGTGAGCGCCTTAGCGCCACCATGACTGTTGGTTCTCATTAGAATTTTGACCGTTCTCACCTCCACCTCCACTCCCACGTCCTGGTATCGATGGTGGTGGCACACTGAACATATCATGTGGTGGGCGATACTTTTCTTCGTGCTCTTCGTCATTTTCACGTTTAATGTTTGTTGCCTGAAATGAGTTCATCGGATACGTAGGGTAACCATCATCAACGGGCTCTTCTTTTATTTTAATGATCTCCATATCGCGGAAATCGGGTTTACGTTCTTTTGTTTCACTGCGATCGCGATCGCGTTCCTTATCACGGCGATCTCGTTTCCTTTCACGTCTGTCACGAGACGAATCTCTTTCGCGTGATTTTGAGCGCTTCTTTTTCCTATCACGCTCACGTTCACGCTCGCGATCCTTTTCACGACGATCGCGCCTATCGAAATCGTCATAGTCACGTTCACGACTTCCGCGACGTTTTCTACGCTCCCGCGATCTGCTGCGAGAACGACGCGATCGCTCACGTTCACGTTCTCTAATCCGATCCCGCGATTGCGAGCGCCGTCGTATACTATCCGCAGCTCCAAATCGTCCACGTTCTACAGCTCTAGCATTTTCACGATCTTCACGTTCACGTTCGAGACGGTAACGTTCACGTTCGCGTTTGTTGTCCTCTCGACCAGAATGTTTAATATTGACATCGTTGCCACCACGGCGGGTACCACCTAAACCGCCGCCAAGGCGACGTGGCAACCAACCTTTGACAGTACGTGCCCGTTCTACATCAACCAATACTCGCTTACCATCAATTTTCTTACCATCGGCATGTTTATATGCGGCATGCATATCATGCTCGTGTTCGTACTCTATGAACGCATACCCTTTGGATTTGGGTTTGCCCGTTTCTTGATCAGTGATCATAACGATTTTCTTGATGGGACCGTAGATCTCGAATTCTCGGCGCAGTTTCGATTCAGATGTATCATAGTTGATGCGCGCCACAAACAACGTTCTAAATGGATCCTCTGTAGCATTTTTAATTTCCTGCGGATCCCATAAAGCTATTTCACGTTCTAATTTATACGCTACCTGTTCAGCTTTTTCGCGTCGTCGTCGTTCCAAACGCTCTTGACGCGTTTCAACTTTTTTCGGCGGCGGAGTATCCTTAGGATCCTCAAAATCACTTAAAAATTTTCCAACACCTAAATATCCCCTTGATTTCTTTTCATGTGGCAATTTATCGACTGGCGGCATATACGCTATCGGATCCCTAGCCGCAAATAAAGCCAAAAGATTTGGCGGCAGATATTGTGTCATTTTTTTTAAGTAATTTTATATTGTTGTATCAACTGCTTTTACTGCGTCCTTGCTACGTGCTTATACAAACCTAGACATGATTTTTTCATTTTGAGGTTAGAATCATACTAAAGTTTTTCTCTTTTTTAACATTTCGTCTCTTACCTTTTTATCACCACCAAACTCATATAAAAACTGTTTTACCTACTCTCCTTTGTTTTAGTTATTTTCAATAAAAAATTAGAATCTTTCAAGACAATTTTTTTTGTTAAAATTCAATCAAAAATTTTTTTCAATTAAAGCAAAAATTAGAAGAAGAAAACATGGCCGTTTATACGTCCTCTATTACCCAGGCCACATGGTTGCATTTAAATATTGTAGTGTAAAATATGTTTATAAAACTAATAGAATAACTGTTATAATACTTCTGTTTACATTCAGCTCTGACTTTTACTTTCAGCAGTAGCGGAAAACAGCAAAAAGGACTTAAAATACACTTACTTGTTCCGAAAATTACTAAAAGGACTTAAACAAATGTACTGTTTAATTCTTTATTTAAACCTTGGCTTTATTTTACAGCGTTATAGCGAATGTTTTTCTAAATAACGACAAAAAATATAATTAGTTCATTAATCGCTTCCATTGCCTGCTTTTATTTTAATAAAATACGTGTTGATAGCCAATTAGTTAATTTAGCTATCACTAAGTTTAAATTTAATAAAGAATGTTTTCAAAACACGAAAATGCGATAGATATTCAAGATGGTTGATATTTGCAATGTTGCTTAAATTAATGATAAATACATTAGCTAATTTATTAAAATTACTTAATGCTACAAGACAAATGTTTAGTGCAAAAATCCGAATTTCGTTTCTTATCACTTGTAAATAATAAAGTTTCTAACGATCTGACAACACGAGTGACTTGTGTTATTGACGCCTATGACATCGATTAACGGCGTTTATTTGATTGGCTCCGGACTTTTTCTTGTAAAAAATAAAAGTGAAAATTGGAATTGTTTTGATTTGCAAATATTTTTATAGTCTTTTATTTTTTTTTTGTCTATTAGTTTCCGTATATTAATTAAATCCTGAATATTTTGCAAATCGAATAGTTTATTGCAAAAGTTAGAGCAAACAGTTTGCAAATACAGCCTGGATAGTAGTAAATATTGGATACGCAAAAAAGAGGAGGGGCGTGTATGTGCAAAAACATGTAAATTAATATATTAATAATAAACGATTGCAAGTCATATTTACGCGACCGCAAAGATTTGGAACTTCGAAAATAAGATAAAAGAATTTAGTTAGTGCTGAGTTTCCGGCTAAAGAAATGAAACTATGCTGGAAACAGTTAACAGTGAAACAGGCACTACCACACAACTAATGGAGGGTCAAGATAATGAAATAGTTGCTCGGTCTTCTCACGATCGGTTACGTTCTTCGAGATTTGCTTGTTTACGTTGTTGCGGCAGTTTTCTCAATTATCTTGTACTGTTAAGGAATACACCGGAGGAATTAGAGCAACGCTACAAATCAAAAGAAATTGATAAATTTTTGGAAAAAGAAAAACAAACATTTCGAAGACAAGTAATTTGTAGTAAAATATTAACAAAGAGTTTTTGGGATAAGTAATGGTTTCTTTTGCAGGTGAAGCTATTACTTTTGGGAGCTGGAGAATCGGGGAAATCAACATTCTTAAAACAAATGCGAATAATACATGGTGTAAATTTTGAACCGGAATTAAAAAAAGAATACCAATATGTGATATATCAAAATGTTATACGAGGTATGATCCCTATGATCGGTTTTATTAAATTAATAGATTGTAAAAAGAATTTGCAACTTCCCTTAATTGTAGGAATGCAAGTATTAATTGATGCACGCGAAAAGCTTGAAATACCGTGGGGAAACAACGATAGGGAGAAGGATTCAAGTGAAACCAAATTAATGGAGTGTACCTCAATAGATGCCGAGAAATTTACACAGTATGCCGCTGTAATAGCACGTCTTTGGCAAGACCGTGGTATTAGGCGCGCATACGAAAGGCGGAGAGAATTCCAAATTGTCTGTATTGGCATAATCTATTGGTAAACTAAGAGTTATTGCATTTTTTTTTTTTTTGCATTTCAGAGCGATTCTGTCAATTATTTTTTAAATGAAATTAATCGTCTGGCTACAAGCGATTATGTACCCACACATAAAGATATATTGCATTGTCGTAAAGCCACGAAAGGAGTTTATGAATTTTGCGTTAAAATTCAAGTAAGGCCTAACTAAAAAATATATATTTTCCAAACGGAATATCTAATGCTAATAATTTTTCCATTAATTTTAGAACATTCCATTTGTCTTCGTTGATGTTGGTGGTCAGCGTACACAGCGGCAGAAATGGACAAGATGTTTCGATTCATCCGTGACATCTATAATATTTTTAGTTTCGACATCTGAATTCGACCAAGTTTTGGCAGAGGACAGGTAAATCTATATATAAATCTATATATAATCCTCTTTCTTTTCCCAACCTTTTTGGATAAATTAAGTGTACTTAGTGGTCTGTGGAAGTGTTATTGTTTACATATAGTTTTGCGAATGGCAAATTTCGAATTAAAATTTTCCCCGAAACAAATTTTTTGGTCTCCTTTCACTCTCGCTGTATTACGTTAAAAAATCAATCAAAGACTAACTAGATAATATCATTTGGATTGCAAATGTTGCATTATGCTGTTATGTTCGTTCTTATTACATTTAATACGTTGCCGTTCCCAGTTCTCTTAACTAACACGTGAATGGAGTGCTTAGTGTTTCAAATATAGATAACAACATACTTTTGACTGACAAATACCTTGACATATATACTTTATTTTGTTATTTTAGCTTACCTACCTTTACATGGTATGATATGTTACACCTTTACAGTACTATCGTATATTTCTAATGAAAAGCACCAAAAGCGTAAACGAACAGGTGGTGGGTTTAAGATAATTTCGAAGAAGGCAGATATAATTAATGGAGTGTATTTAATTTATATTTATAAATATTGTTTTGTTCTCATTTTTCCTAATGTCTTACATAGAATGACTAATCGATTGGAAGAATCCAGAAATATTTTCGATACTATTGTAAATAATAATACATTTAAAGGTATATCGATAATCTTGTTTTTAAATAAAATGGATTTGCTTGAGCAAAAAGTTCGCAACCCGGAGACTGATATACGTTGGTATTATCCACAATTCAGTGGTAATTCACATTCACTGTTGGACGTTCAAAATTTCATTTTACAAATGTTTATGAGTGTGCGAAAGAGTCAACAGAGCCGCACTTATCATCACTTCACCACTGCCATAGACACGCGTAACATGACTGTTGTTTTCAATTCAGTTAAGGATACAATATTGCAACGCAATTTGAATGCTTTAATGCTGCAATGATAACATACCATTGATGACAATAACTTGGGTCTTTCAATACAATACGAATAAAAGAAAATGTAAAGCTTACGCAGAAAGTTATTTTGTAAAAGCTAATACTAAGTATTTATATTAATGAGAAAAAGTCTAAGAAGTGCGACAATCTATTTTTTTATATTTTAACTTCATCTTCATATATATACATGCATGTGTACATAAGTTAAAAAAGATAATAAAAATGAAAGAAATAGCCAAAAAAGCATCGGTTACAGCATTACTTTTAAAAATAAGTTTAAAAAATGTTTTATATTCTGTAAAAATAAAGAATAAATAAATCAAAATTATGTATTTACGGTTTATCCTGGTGCAGCATTAAATTGAAGTTGACATTACTTTTACAAAGTTATAGTGCTCAAATGAATCACAAATTATGGCCTTGCAATACGCTTTCTACAGGTAAATTACGTAAAATATAACTGAGCCAAAGAATTTTCTATACACAAACTGACGAAATATTATTTTTAAATAGGTTTCATAAAAAAAACGCCCGCCGCTCAATATGAAACGGCCCATTTACGAATTTTCTATGCCGGTAGAACAGATGCAATCCGGTCGTGCTCGAATGAGTCGTTGGCTTTCGCTAACATTTGATGAAAAGATGGACAACAAGCAAGGCGCGGAGCTCTTGCGAAAAGCTGTTGATGGTCATCGGAAATATACCACCATAGCCTTAATGGGTGAAGGCATTGATCGTCATTTATTGGGTTTGAAATCGATGGCCTTTGAAAATAAACTACTGACACCAGCCTTTTACAACTCACCTGGCTATATCAAAAGCTTGGACTTTCGTGTTAGCACTTCTCAAGTTGCTATGGACCCACGTTTGACGATGGTTACTAATGTCGTTATAATCCGTGTGAAGATGACATTTTCTTTGGAGTTAGAGCCTGGCATTGAAATAAGTAAACTTGCACCCTTAGTTTTTGGAAGTCTATAGTGGAAGCTTTACTGTACACGAAAAAAATTTTGGGACCGCCACCTAAGTCTAAAAAAGCACCGCCAGTAAAGCCTGTTATAGCAAAAGCAAATTATAAATTGACTGAAATTATAAAAAAAATTTAAAATAGTAGAAGCAGAGAGAAATGCAAGATGTTCAATATTCAAACTTTTATACCTTTATACAGCGAAAATTCATATTTTATTTATATATATATATATTTTTTTGTTTTTGCTGCTTAAACCTAAATAGATATTTTTACAGAACAGATATTTAACCGTGAAATTCAACCCAAAAAAAAAAACAATGCTTAATCCCTTTTGCAATGATAACAATTGCAAGAAATGGCCTCATCCCATTTATACATAACACTCGTTTTTGGATCTAAACATGAAGGAAAATTATTGAAATATGTTAATATCAAGCAAAGCGATTGAATATTGCGTCGTAGTACGTCTTCCGATTTCATCATATTACAGCATTGACCCACTGATATTACTGGTTTAGTGGGCTTAAAAAAACATTTCATTTTTAGCATAATTATCATAATTGATGCAAGTGTGGTTAGTAGCGGTTTGTAGGTGGTATTAGTGTGGTTAGTAGCGGTTTGTAGATGGTATGTTAATCACAATTTATGCAAGTGTGGTTGGTAGCGGTTTGTAGATGGTATTTTTGATCATAATTTATGCAAAAATTTTTGTGAACAATGTAAAAGAGAAAAACCGCTAATGGATTTCAGAGAGAGATCAAAGCAAATCAAAGCATTTTACAAGTGTGTTTGACTAAGTTAAAATTTATCAAAAAAATAGCAATAGTTATTAATAAAAAAGTAAAATTATAAAAATAAAATTGTATAAGTATCCTTTATGTAGTTAACATTTATATATTGTTTATATAGGTATATAAAAGACTCTTATATAGGTTTATAAGAGACGAACTGAAAAAAATATAAGGAAATTATAAGAAATTAACAGTAAGTGCATTTTATTCATGCATATATTTTTATATTTAAAGTAAACCATTTTTTTTTTTTTTTTGGAGAATTCCATCTTTTATAATGCAATGTAAACAGAATATAAAAACTCTGTTAAGTCGTAAGAAACTCGTTAAAGTGGTAAAGGAGTGTAAGAAACTCTGTTGAAATGTAAAGCCGTCGGCAATAAATTACGCTGTCAACATGTTTATGTATACTGTAATAATGTTTGATGTGGTATGAAGTGTTTAGTTTATCTGTTTAGGCCCTATGCTGCTCGGCTGCAGTACGCCAAGTCTATCCGTCTTTTATAATGCCAAAGTGTCTCGGCATGAGACGGTCACTAATCTTAATGGTTCAGGTAGATTGAATGCCTAGTGCTATTAGCGAGTAAAACGCTTGGTTGAGTTGCTTTATGAGAACTGATCTTCTTTATTTTCTTAGGCACTATTTATACTGAATTTTTACACTAAATTAATCTTATCTTATTCTAAACAGGACACTAGATTATTCTTATATAAATAGAATTATCACTGTTTACATGCGAAGTGAAGTGTGACATTTTATTTTATCAAAAGGATTATGCTGAGTGGCATAATTTTGTCACACTTCAAGTGGATGCATACGATAGTATGCGATCACACTACAATACGATAAAAAGAACACTACGCGGTGTTGCAGAATTTTGCTTTGAAAAAATAATTTTTTTCTCGTATAAGGAGGAAGTATGCTTGTTTGCTGATTGATGATTATATGCTTCTTAACCGTGACAGGATAATAAGAACCGCCTTTGACCGTAGCGCCGTTAGCTACAATACAGTACAGCTACAGTTCTAATAATTAAAAACATTTTTCTTTCATATCTTAATGGATATGAAAAATTCACCCACTAACAGGTCCTACGCGAGTAATAATGCAACCAGAATTGACTACTTCACCTCCTTACAATTGGTAACCCGCCAAAGTTATTTAGTAGTTTTGCCAGCATTAAGTTCCTTCATATCAGCATAATTTTTGTTAAAAGTTAATTTATATGTTAAGTGATACACTTCGCCAACGTTTCGTGTCTCCAGATACGTAAGAACTTTAAAGCCTTTATCAGTATCGTTGAAAAGGCGCTTCTACGCTTAAAAAAGCTGCATTGAAAAATAAAACGTTTAAAGCAAAGCTGAAAACAACGGAATATATTGTAGTGTGATCGCATACTGTCGTATGCATACTGTCGTATGGAGTGTGACAGAATTATGCTTTAGCATAATTCTTTTGGTAAAATAAAAATAAAATTTATGTCACACTTCACCAGGGTGAGTATTGCATTTCGTAATGCAACACGATGCCGTAATTAAACAATCATAATTTTTGTTTATATAACCATAATTTAGTGTAGAAAATAAGTATAAATAGTACCAAATAAAATAAAGAAATACAATTGTATCGAAGCAATTCAACTTAACGTTTCACTCGCTCCTAAATCAAAGGCGTTTAATCCGCCTGAACCATAAAGATCTTATGCCGGGCTATATTGGCAACCTGTGACACGGAAAGAGTTGGCGCACTTAAGCCGAGCAGCTTCGGGGTAAACTGCGCTTCCGCTATTAAACTTCATTACAATATTGTTTACAGCTGATCTGTTTAAATAAAGAGGGAAAAAAATCAGTTAATTACTCTTTTAATGTTACTGTGTATTCCAATACATTTCAGATATGTTATACTATATTAAATATATTTTTTTGGTTTTTTGGTATAAAAATTAAATTTGTATTTAGCAAATTTCATCTTTTATAAAAAAAACTATGTACCTACAAAAATTTCATCCCTGCTAAGCAAATTTCCAAAACCATAAAGCGTTTTTTTGTTTATATGATATTTTTATATATAAGCTAATAAGTAAATAAACAAGTAAAACATTATTTATACTTCATACATAAACTATCAATTTCTTGGAAGTGTATGGGGAAGCCAAAACTTATCTTAGCTGGGCAAGTGTTGGAAATACGCTGTAAAGTACAGTGAAAACTAATCAGGCTTTCTCTTGAATACGCGTCAATCAAGGCGTTCAAAATTTGACTTAAACCGATGATGACCTCTTCCTTTTTTCTTAGGAGATATTTAATGAAATATTTTAGTACACGCGAACACAAAAAGCAAATTTTTTATAATGAATTGTCTGATTAAAGGACTGCCTTGTTAGGGTGAATTATGTAATTTTTTACATTCATTATTATATTTAACAGAATTAAACTATTTCTGAAAGTATCAAAAACTTTTGTGCATCATACACTAAAATATAAAAAGATAAGCTAAACAAGCTACTGGATGCATACCCCATTTAGAAGAGTTTTAATCCTTTTCTTTTTAATTTTTAATAATTCATCAAAAATTATATTTTTATTAATCTTATTTTTGGGGTCAATAATCAATTTCTTCTAATTCGTGGTTAGGGGTATGACTAGGTTTAGAAACTAATTTACTTTTATCTTCCTCATATGAGGCAGAAAATTATTGTCTACTGAAGCCTCCCTAAGCATCTTCTATTCTTTTATTTTCTATTATTTTAATTTATGTTGATTTTAATAGAAAGCAACTCTGTGCAAGCGCTGTGGTCATATCTTTTTCTTTGTGCAAAAAAATTTTGCAATTTCTTCTTTTATATTATTTCTTTATTGCTATATACGTTTTTAAAAGTGTTCAAATTTATTAAAATATATTGAACTTTTTGTGTGTTTATTGCTAAAACTGATCATCGCGGATACCGTACCTGTTTGCTTTAAATATAACAAAAAAAAAAAAAAAAATTGAAAACAATTGACATTATTCTCAGTAGTTTCCCAAACCTTTTCAAGTGGATGGTTATTTCACAAATAACTAAATAATAGACAACCATAAGGCATAATGGCTCCGGGGATGCCAGATAAAAACTCGAATCCCCCCAAAGAAAAAAAATTAATAATTCCGAATTTCCGGTGTTGCCAATCAGTGACATCACTCCTATCGACGAAAAATATATTGTTATTTCTTCAACCGATGCTAGAGTAACAATTTCCCAAATTAGCCCTTTTGCTGTAAAAAAGCCCTAGATAGCATTACAACATACATAGACTCTACCTCGATTCTAAGCGATGGGAATTTACTAATCTTCGCTGGGAACCCGCGCGCAACCGAAAAGCTCATAAAATCGAAATCTTTAGCTAATCTATATGCTATTTCCGCTAAAGTGCATGAAAAACTTAACTCAGTTAGAGGCGTAATTTATGCCCCG